TAAAGCTGATTCATTTCTTTCTACACAATCGCAGGCCATTCTGTAAAAGCACAATTCTTTCAACATAAAAAACCCAGACGGGGAAATCATGAACTAATTACCTTCTTGGGGCAGGGGTGGCAGCACAGGGGGAGATTGGCAATCATTTCTTGGTATGAAAACTCATCTCGTTCCGTACACTGGATTACTCCATCCAACACCAGGACGTTCCCATAAGTCTTACTGCAGACAGGAGAACATTTACAGTACATGAAAGAGAGAATGAAAGAAAACATGCATGTAGGGAGAAAGTAGGAAAAGTGAGAAGTAAAAAAAAGATAGATAGACACGTGATATTTTAACAAAGAAAGTGGCTGCGGTGAAGGAAGGCCATTAGAAAAAAAAGGAGAGTGTTTAGTGGAACGTGATGTTAGAAAGCAGTGCTGTCAGTTTCAGCTCATGAATGTGCATAAGCAGTGAGGAGGCGTTCTATTTTAGGTCTATCACAAAATGTACTTCAGAGAAAAGTCGACGGCCTGAAAACACAACACAATATACCAACATACATAGGGTCACGAGCCTACAATTTATGGAATGCATAAACTTCTAGCAAAAGGCGAAATACTGGTTTTGAAGATATAATGTAACAGTACTCAGTGGGAGGAAACGGTCTGCTGTCTTTATTCGTCAACTTCCAGGCTTTCCAGGTGCGTGTGGTTAAACACAACACACCTAACTTGCACACGATTTTCTTGTAACATCGTATGTCTAATAAAATAACACAAAATAGGACTCCAACAGCAACGACCAAGTTTAGGCTGTCACTGAGAACAATCAAGTCCAGTATTTTCAGATCACAGAACGCCACGTTATACTGGGCAGCTGAGCAGCTAACTTAGCACACACCACGAAGCTGAAGTTGGCTTCTTAGTCGAACTGTCCGTTCCACCTTAAACGGTGCAGCCGTTACATTCAGCTAACTTCGCACACGTCACGATGCTAAAGTTGGCTTTTTAGTCAAACTGTCCGTTCCACCTTAAATGATGAAGCGGTTACATTCAGGTAACTTGGCTCACTCGTCACGAAGCTGAAGTTGGCGTCTTTGTCGAACCGCGCGTTCCACCTTAAAATGTAAATGGTGCAGCAGCCGCCTTGGGCGCCAGAATGTAACTACTGCACCATTTAAGGTGGAACGAATGTTACCCGTAAGAGGCTGGCGAAGAAGTTCAGCCTCGTGCACCCAACACGAGAGCACCAAACCACCACAGGCAGAGGCGAAAGCGCAGCTAACAGGCTATTTCAGACAAGCTCGGAGAAGAAGAGGTGGTGAAAATATCAAGTTTGACTTTATAAACGGTCCCCAAGAATCAGCGACCCATAGTTAGTCAGCTAACGCTAGCTGGATAGTTAGCAAGGCAGCTAACTGAATGGTCTGTGGCTATTCAGAACTCACCTCTTAAACACCATAACATCCTGAAATTTGGATTCTTTATGGTACAGAACCTCCTCCACCTGAAGACTCATTGCTTGGCCAGGCCATAACGTGCACGTCTCGGTGAACCAGCCGTCTTTAAGGTTGTCCATTGTGAATGAATGTCGGGGGAGAAAAGGAAAAAACGGCCGCCTCTCTTGTGAGCTTCTTGAAAGAAAACTCGGAGCTAAAGTGCTCGGAGTTGTGGAGGATCTCGCACACTGACACGTTGGGCGCTGGAGTCCGGTCTTAGCCAACAAGAGACGAGAACCAGCCAATAGGATCTGGGCGTCGCCAGCGATGAGTCCGACCGTAGTCAATCAGAGGCCAGCATGAGAGATCTTTATACAAGCTAGTTCGGCTTTGCAGAGGACGGAAAGACACCACGTGAAAGTTGACGTTGATGTCAAAGCGCCACAGGAAAGACGGGGACACGTTTCATTCAAACAAAATATAGCCTTTCTATCAAAATTCAGCACCTCTTATCTACAGGATAAAGTCGCTGGTTAGCTTTTCTATCTTCGGTTTGTTTAGGGCTTGATCAGTAGCCACGCCTTTCAAAAATACATAGTAAAACTAGGAGATTTCTATAGTGCTTTAGTACTTCTGTAACATCTAATATTTGTGAGTCCTGCAGTGCTGTCGTATAGAAATCATGAAGTATAAACTACAGTGTTTGTCTGAATTTACCATAAGATTCTTATATGAATCCTGCTGAAGTTCCTGTAGTATTTACTACAGATCTTTCTCATACGGGGCAGTAAGAGTCAGACTGAGGTGGCTGCTGTGCTGTGCTGTCAACACAACTGGATTTCTTTTTGATCTGATACCCAGGGACAGATAATGATCTTGTGAAGCAAAAATAAGCAAAAATAAAACCTGAAAAGTGAGATATTTTGCACGTTTATGTACACCTTAAACAATGCTCGAAATGTATTTTTGATTTAATAAGCCTTAATAATTTGTGATATCCAGTTGTAACAATTTGTTCTTATTGCATAAGATTTTAAGATTTTTGTGTAAGATCTGAGTCATTTCTTATTTCTTTCAGTCTGCTCCATTTTAATGGAAACCACAAACTTAATATAAAGAACTTATATAAAATATAGAATATATAAAACTTAAAGGGCCCGAAAGCAGTTAATAGCTCTTCATTTATTTTGTCATTTGTACACATTTGAAGGCTATTTGTTCATATAATGTTTACATCTGCATCTGTGGACTGTCCCAAGTTGCACGGGTCACCTCAAGCCCCCCCAGGACCCCTGGCAGTCAGAGACTCCTTCGCACTTATTACTTATCTATTCTTGCTAATACTGAGTAATATGAAGGCTTGAATCCTGATACCAATGCCAATATTTGTAAAACTCTTCCTGTGCACATTTCTGATTGCCACAGTGAAAATTCAGACATACATTTATTTGAACTTCTTTGCATTTGCCTTAAACAAGCCATCAGTTCTATGTCTGTGTTTGCTTATTCTTTGATCTACTATTATAAAATTGGGCTTCTCAAAAAAGCAGGCGTGTCTTGGAATTTCAGGCAGTAAACTGTTAAAATGGTCTATTTTAGACCTATCATTATATACATACCTTAACAATGCCTGTGTTTATGTTCCAATCCTACACAATTATTTGCTGCCTGTTGCTTCACTTTTTAACCATCAAATACAGTTTTGTAAAAACTATATTAAAAAATAGAAAAATATAAAAAATATTGAAAGTACTGGTTAAAGAAAACACTTGGTATTGATCAGTAAGGATTGATTCTCCAAAGAAGTGGTATCAATACTACATTATTTACTGCGCATCTGTACTCGGGGCGGAGTTTGCCTGTTCTCCCCGTGTCTGCGTTGGTTTCCTCCGGGTACTCCGGTTTCCTCCCACAGTCCAAAAACATGCAGTCAGGCCAATTGGACGTGCTAAAATTGCCCCTAGGTGTGAGTGAGTGTGTGACTGTGTATGTCTGTCTGTCTGCCCTGTGATGGACTGGCGACCTGTCTAGGGTGTATCCTGCCTTCCGCCCAATGACAGCTGGGATAGGCTCCAGCACCCCACCGCGACCCAGAAAGATAAGCGGTTTAGATGATGTATGTATGTATGTATGTACTCGGGACATTTTTATTTATTTATTTATTTATTTTTGAGTATTTCTTGCTTCAGTAATGCTAACATATTGATATATTTCACTTTGGTTTTAGAAACGTGATTATTCAGGAATTTGTTTTCAAAAAAATTAAAGAAAATCCCAAAATGACCCTCCACTACCAACATGAACCAAAATCAAAGTCCTCCAGAGAAAGGAACCCAAGCATCTCTCTTTTTTAGGACCCAGCAGCCTCACTATACACTCCATTTTTAGAGAAAAAACAGATTTATTCAGTACATCACTGAGAACAATGACCAAAACAGTAAGACTGTTCTTCAGTAGTAGTAGCATCAACACATACCTCACATTTAGGTAAACAGACGGCTACATCTCTTGTTGTTCTGTGTCTAAGTGAATATTTTGAATAAAGTGTGTCTATAGCAGGTGCCAGGCCTGATATAGAACCACTACATTTAAAAAATGAACGGATTCTCAAACATACAGTATGTGTTAACATGACGATTATTTGTGCTACATGAAAACTCAGTTCATATAGTTTTCACACACAGTTGCTCAGTAGGACTTACGGTGCTTTTTCTGTCATTAGCCACGTTTACATGCAGCCTGATAATCTGTTAATAATCCGACTAATAGCTCAATCGGAATAGAATACGTCCATGTAAACACTTGACTAGGCTATTCCGATTGAGGCCATTCAGAATACAATTTCTATCCGATTGAACGAGGTGGGTAATCCTGTAAATAATTCGTTAAATAGAAGAATAATAGCCATGTAAACGCCTTTATCGGATTACATTTCCAATCGGAACGTGTAAGTACGTTCTGCGCATGTGCGTCGCGTCATATTAAAAGCACAGCACTCAACCGGCTCTGGCAAAAGTTTAGAACGTTCAACATGGCGGAGCAGAAACTGGTCTGCAGAGGAGACGAAGTTTACGCTCTGATCTTTAAAAGACGGCGGTGGGACGGACGTCCAGCTTATGTGTCTCAGAACACGATGTCTTCCTCTCGGCCTTCTTTAATAAGGACGTTTTCCTGAGTCTGACATTATTTTAAAGTAGTTAAAAACTCCAGCGCGCCAACTGGAAACTCATCTCGCGCTGACTGGACCTCACGTGATGCTCGCTGTCATGGTAACGTTTACTCTAAGTGGTACTCCACGCATGCGCGTCATTTTGGATCGGATTACTTTTAGTGAGCATATAAACGAAGATTTTCATCAGATTGTTGAATAGAGTGTTCATATAAACACTTAAGTCTTAATCTGTAATCGGAATGTATTCATTCGGATTGGCAAAAATCTTTGCATGTAAACACAGCCAATGAGATCATAAGAGATGACAAGGGAATATAAAGTATTAACAAACCAGTACAATAATGTAGTGCATCACTATAAATACTGCAGACACTTCAAAAACATGAATAAAAACTCACAAGACACACTCGCAATGGCCTATGCAGTATGTGCTTTGTTTAGAGTTCTAGCTATATTTTGCCTAATGTAACATGACACATCTGACAGAAATCTCTTAGTACTAGGCTTGTCTCCCCAGAACACAGAATAAACATTATTTAGCTAAGGCATGAGTGTGGTAACAGTTTCATTTCAGCATTCACAGTTTTTAAAAACATTTAATAACTTATAGATGCGTGATTCGCATAGTTTCTGTAAAATCATGCACACAACACTGAACAGCTGTCTACTGAACTGAGCATCACAGCATGTCAATGACAGCACAATGTATGCATTAACGTCCGTAGAGTTGGTTTGCTAAGGGTCCTTTTGAACACTGTTTTTCTATACTTACAAATCCAGCTGCTCTAATCGTTGGGATTTGGATTGGCGTCAGGATACTGGGAGAGGTCAAAGGTCAGCACTTTGCTGATGACGCAGTCTCCTTGCTGTGAAGAGACCAGCTATTAGTATTTCAACACTGTGAAAAAGGTTAAGTCAGCTATTAAAATTGTGTGTATTTCCAGGGACACAGCAGGGGTTCATTTGGACACACAGCTTTGTCCACTCTGTTTAATTACATATCATATCACTGTTTACTAAAGAAAGACAAACCTCAGGGTAGACTCCTATGAGTGAGTCAGCCTTTGTATAGAACTCCTCTTTTAGGGAGATGACAATGGCCTGGAAGTTCTGGACTGACTGGTCCTTTATGTAATTGGCCACCTGCGTATGTAGCACAAACAACATAAAATTAATGTCTACATTTTGCCACATGCAAAAGGCAATGGTTATGTAAAATCCGTATATTTTAAACAAAAATGTTGCCATTCAAGTACAGATTTATAAAGATTCTGACATGAAAGGAAAGTTTTACAGATTTAGTGCACGGGTGCCCAAACTTTTTGTCTCAGCAGGTCAAAGTGCAATGTTTGCAGTGGGCTGAGGGCCAAAAGAAAAACAATATACGAATAAAGGATTTAATTCCAAAACATATTAAATGTCCTTCACACATTAAGTTTCTTCATTTTTTATAAAATACGTTGATAAACACTGAGAACGGGCTTTACACAAAAAAACATCACCATTATATTTTCATAAATACCAACTTTATTGGACAGACTTGCTTGCTTAATTCTGGTCTGTTTTCGCACATGCGCAGACTGAGAAATCCAAAAGAAATCTGAGTAAGAGTTTACATGCACTGAGAATTCATAATCAGATTTTATCATCAGATTTCTAGACCTTACTCCGATCTAGGAAATCGGAGTGTGCTATTTACATGACTATTTCAATAATCATATAAATGCAGAAATCAGATTATGATCGGATTATTGAGTACAGGTAAATGCACTCAATGTGCATTACAAAACAGCTGTTATTCTTTTAATATCCTTGTTACAAATGGATTTAGAGCATTATGTAATGAAGAAAGTAGGTGTCAAATACATGTATGGATATACAACTTGAATATACAGCAATGGATATACAGTACTCTTCAAAAAAAGAAGGCAGGTTTCCAGATCAAATTTTTAAAATGATAAGTGATTTGATATTTAGTAATATTATTAATTATTAGTCATTAATAAACACTATTGGTGCTTGTTACATTCTTCATCCTTTTCTGTCTGATGTTGGTCCACTTACTCGTCCCGTATTTTTCGAGATATTGACTCTAAATCAACTCCAGAGTGTTTGGTCTGATCAGGGATAATGAGCTGGTATACAGCTTTTTGACTGAACACCCGGTTTCTGCATACCAATCATTTTTTCCCACAGGGGTGAATGGCAGAACTGTTTTTTTATTCTAAATGTTTGTGCACCCCTCCTATGTCACCATGAGAGAAGAAACCTAGTAACCACCTGGGCTACCATAGCAGTCACCTAGCAATGACCCAGCAACCACCTGGAACACCATAGCAACCATGTGGTAACACCCTAGCAACCACCTGGAATATTATACCACTCACTTATCAACACAATGGCAATCACTTGGAACACCGTAGTCCCAAACTAGCAACCCCCAAGAAACCAACAGAGGTATTATAGCATCCCCCTAGCAACACCCTAGAAACTACATAGAATACTACAGTAACCACATAGCAAATTCTTTGCAACCAGCACAGATATCACAGCAACATCCTAGCAATACCAGTGAATTGCTTAAGCTGTGCAATCAGTCAGCATTTTCTTCAGGAAATGCACTTTCTTCTTACTTAAAGTTATATTTGTTTTACAACGTTACACTATTTTTTAGTACTAAAACAGTTAAATAATACACATTTAAAGAATTAAAGTTATATAAGGTCTAAACATTTGTTTATTCTCTCACTGGGTAAGAGGGTAGATTTAGGATAACCTTCTGGTGGTTTAGTCAAACTTCCTTGCAGGCCAACTTTGGGCCCAGATTTATAGCAAATACACATTTGATAAACTAACCTGTTTAGAATCTCTTTATAATGAAATGTAATTTTGAGAGATTCATAAGGCAATGGCATGTAAACCACTGTGTTTTGAACAATGATCATTGTGATGTAATTACAGTTGACCACTGTAATGTATACAGACCTTGCCAATGTTTGTGTTATCAAGTGCAGCATCAATCTCATCAAGGACGAAGAACGGAGCCGGTTTGTAGCTAAGAGGGGAATTTAAATATATAACATTCAGGAACCAAAGAATATTATCTGATTTTGAAAGTAGTAGCTATAAGGCATTTACTCTCTGGATGTTGTCTTACCTGTGAATGGCAAAAAGCAGAGCCAAAGCAGCGACTGTCTTCTCCCCTCCAGACAGATTATCCATTGGCCTGAATCTCTTTCCTGGAGCCACACAATTGTAATTGATTCCATCTAAGTATGGTTCCTCTGGGTTCTCTGGGCCAAGAAAGGCCTGGGGAAGAATGTGTTATTTCATTTCAAATCTAGTTAACAGGACTACACTGCACTTCCAGTAATATGAAGTCCTCTAATACTCAGAAAGCTTTTTGAAATGATAAGGCAGCTCTTCAAAATCAGTTGTGTTTATTTCAGACCTGTGCACTGCTGTTACGCGAGAGGGCTTTGTAGATCTCATCAATATTGGTGGCGACGGACTCAAAGCAAGTGTTGAAACGGTCAAACCTCTCCTTCTTGATCTGCTCAAACGCCTGCTTAGCCTTCTTAGCTCTCTTTCGTGCTGCTTCAAATTCTGCAGAAGAGGCATAAACAAATAATGCCTGATCTGAGTGCTTCCAAGACTGTCAATCAATTATTCAATAGGTTTGGTGTAGGACAAGTTCACAGTAAATCTGCAGTCTTAAGCACTATTTGAGCTGGATTTGTTTCACCAGAGGAGGTTCTGTAATGTAATTTGTAAGGGATTTCACTGGTCAGTTTGTATGAGATAAAGTATGTGTTTAAAATGCAGATTTGTACTAGATTAAAATCACAGATCCTGTTGGTAATCATTTAAAAAACTCAAGAAGGGCTTTCGTGAAACTTTTACACTCTTAAAGGGGAATTCCATGGATTTTTAAAAAAAAATATCTGCATGACTAAATTGTCTACATGTAAACAAAGTCATTCAGAGTGGTCTGATGTGAAGTCTGCTCTTCTAGAGACACCCACTGAGTCAGAGTTGTTCACATTGGTGGTGATAGGAACCAGAAGTCTGAAGCGTTTCAAGCTTCTAAAAAGCTACCTCGCAAAAAACTCATAGATAAACTGGCTACAAATACGCTGCCTGATGCCTGAGACACTGTTTGACAGTAGTTTTAAGACAGTAGGTTTTGACATAAAACTTATTTTTTTAAATACATTTTTGGCAGAGAGGATGCTATAAGCCAAAATAGGAAAAGTGTTTTTTTTTTCAGATTTACCACTATTTTACTATTCTTAGCATCACATGTTGTGGTGTCAGCATAGAAGACATGGCAGATTCTATTTATTCTACCATAAGAAGTGCTCTTTTATTTACAGTGGCAGAAAGGCACATGAAGAACAGCTGGAGACAGCAGTGATGTCATTTCTAGGGGTTAGCACAAAACACCACTAACTACCCCAACAGCCCAACACAGAATAACACATATAACATGAACTCACACTTTAAACTAAGAAACAACAACATTAATAACATTAAACAACATTTAATGTCCCTCTTATAGAGGGGGCTGGGCAGAGCGGGTCGTGTGGCGCAACTCTGCATACCATGCTCCTAAAGCCCCTTTTTAAAAATGCGGAGCATGCGGCAGACACCATAATATAAAACTCACTGGTCATTTTGGATAGTAAATAAAATGGCTACATTTGCATTGTAGACATTGTGACCCCTGGTTCCCATCACCACCACTGTAAAGAAATGTGGGTCGATAAGTTTCTTTAGAGTGAACCATTTCACATCAAACCTTACATCTCAATGACTAAATTATGCAGAAATTTTGAAAAATCAGTGGAATTTGTCTTTAAAAATAGACAAACAAAAAGGATTTTGATGCCCTTTTTCAACCTGAAAAACCTTTCAGTGGGTGGAAAAGTTTCTATAAATGTGATGTGAGTGTGAAGAACCTTTTCGGAGTTTAAAGAACCTCCATATAATAAAGGTCCTATAACAATTAAAGGCTTTTCCTAGAACCATACATTCAAGCCAAGTACCATTTAGCAACCTTCCTTTGCAGCTGTAGCTACTGTTTATTGGCTTACCGTCACTGGTCTCCTGGAACTTGTCCCTGACGCTCTCCAGTTTCTCCATGGCCTTCATGTTGGGAGCGCTGATGCGCTGGAGAATGCTCTGCTGCTCATTCAGCCTCTGCTGCAAAGTGTTCATCTCAGCCTTAATCTCCTCCTCAGAGAGAGTGTCCTATGAACATGGATCAAAAAGAGGCTGACCACTATTTTCAATACATAAAATACACATCACAGAAATGTCCTCAGAGATGGTTGGATTTAGAGGTTGCAATGGGTGTATGTTTTTGGCATACCTTGAGGTCCTCATTCAAGTTGCTGTAATCTATTTCTATGAGAGCTTCCTTGGCATGCACAGAGCTGGATGTTTTCTGGCTGCTGGACTCATCAACCTGGGAGCCTCCCTGGATGAAGAATTCATATCTTAACAGTGTGATATCATTTACAGTGTATGGCTTCAGCCATGTGTGTTTATGTTTGTTGTGACATCTTAACTGTAGTATTGTCTCCTTACACTATTTAAGACAGGAGACAAATTAAAGGAAAAACTAATATAAAGTTTCTTAGTAAGATGTTAGGACACTACAAGCCACCAGAACAACTACAAGTCTCTGGAACCTTGCTGGAGGGATGAAACTTCATGCTTCTGGAGAGCATTACTATTTTGAACCAAAATCTCATATAGTTGTTCTTCTGGGTTGAGATCTGCTGACTGCAAAGGCCATGGCACATGATTGACATCATTTTTATATTCATCAAACCATTTAGTGACCCCTTGTGTTGGGGGCGCTGTCAGCATGGCCAAGACCTCTCCCATTAATATAAAAATGTTTCATCATAAAATAAAGGTGATTAGTTGACATAACTTTGTACTAATTTGCAGTGATCCGTCCCTTTAAGGGGACAATTGGACCCAAACCATGCCAGAAAAAGACCCCCAACAGCATACAGACCCACTGGCCCCTCTCATTGTAGGGGTCAAGCATTTAGGCCTGTATAGTTCTTTCGGAGCAGAGTAGACAACATGTGCCAGTATTCGGCAACATTAAACACACACAGTAACATTATCGTCCACACTCTGAAATACCATCAATGCATCTTAGTCAAACAAATTATATGTTTCACCAGAGACACAGAGCAGCTCCCACTACACTCACTACAGTGTGTCCTCTGAGCAGAGCTTGTAAACAATCACAACAGCCACAGCACGGCAGAAGGAAGAGCAGACAAGAAACTTTTTCTCCCTCCAAAAAGTGAAAACTCTCGTCCCGCCTAGTGTGGAGAGGAATAATACTCAGTTTCATGAATACACTTAAGTTTGCAGTTGTGTGTATGAAGAAAAAGTCTCAAAGGCATATCAAATTTAACCTCACCTAGGAACCTAGTTTTGTTTAACAAGCAGTTCTGCAGACTGCTAATGGGCTAACGTGTTCAGTAATACTGTGTTGGGTTTTAAGCTGAAAAGCTTTCTAAATGATTCACTGTAAAACTAGAATATATAAAGTAAAAAAGGGACCTGAATGTTTGTTACAAGCTATGTTTGTCTAAATTCCATTTACAGACTTGAGTCCAATGCAGAAAAAACTCCTTAGCTTGAAATGTTAGCTTGATGCTAACACATAATTAAGAATCTCATTTTCCCGCTAGTAGAAATTAGCATTCTTATTGAGTGAGTTTTTTGATAAACAGCAGCTGCTAATGAAGTAAACAGTTTCCACATTAAGCACTGTTATATAATGACTGACACAACAGGTACATGATGATTATATGATGCAGTGCACTATATGCCATCAACATGACAACATCAGTGTTCCATTCTTTATTGTTTGTTGCAGCAGCTTCACAGCTTTTGGTAAAGCTCTCAGTGCTGTATGTTAAAAAAATCGTTATACTGTCTTACACATGCAAAAAAGCATGGTAGGATGCTACTTGCTTAAATGCTTAAATACACATGTCTGGGAGCTTCTGCACTTATTATGTTTCTCTATTCATCAAAACAGGTTTTTTCCTTGAATTTGTCATCCATTTATAGTTGAAACACCTCAGTGGACATCATTTGCGTGTGATCATATAGGGCTTTTTAGATAAACTGCACTATACCTCTCCCTGACTGATGTCATCCATGGTTCCAGATTTGAGGGGCAGTTTGATGTCCTGCATCTTGCAGGCCTGTAGAAGGTTGTGTCTGTCACTGCGTTTCTGCTCCAGCTTTGTCTCAATCGCTGTCACCTCTTTCTGTAGCTGAGTCAGCTCTCTGAGAACATCACATCAAACCATTCAGACTATGACCATAACCCCTTACCATTCATGTCCACAAAACAAGGCTTATTATTCAGTTACATGGAGCACAACGCCAGAAATCTGGACCTGTCCGTTAGATTGAGAATGTTACAAGATTCTGTATGATAACAGAAAAGCTTGCAGATCCTTGCTAAAAACACCTCACCCAACTCATCATCTAATTACGAACAATTTCTCACTTGTTAGCAGCTCCTAGTTTCTTGCGGATCTCCTCCATCTCTCGGTTCTTGTCATTGACCTCTCCCTTTTTAGTGAGGTGCTGATTTTTGAGGTCCTGCAGTTGAGCCATGGTCTCATCAATGATCTTCATGTGTCTGTGCTCCTCCTGAAGTGCAAGAAGACAAAGACTACAGTGCCTTTTAGGTGAACTGCTACATCAGTAGGCCATCATTAGTCCATCATTAGTCATCATTCAGATTCAGATTTTGTCGTTTTCCGCTTCAGCTCATTAAAATCTGCCCCCAGAGTAGCTGGTTGCATGAGCATCTCCATATTGGTCATAGTAAAATGGATCATAATGTGAAATTGGAGCTTTCTGTGTGCTACCATGTTTCGATCACCGTATAAAAGAAGCTCCATGTTGCCTTTATTGCCTTTAGTTTCTGAGCAAGCTTGGTCAGTCATTCAGAATGGATTTCTAATCAGTAAGAACTTATTATTGATTTGTTCCTCAGAATAACAATGAAAGGTGGTTGAAATGTTAAATATGTTCCTGTTCACATGTTCGCTTTTTCAGAATAGTAGCAAAATAGTCTTTACATGTTCTTATTAAATTCAGTAGGGCAGTATTGAGAAATCATGTTATGAATGGAGAAGAATAGATTAAAATGCAGAAGGACTCACTTTCTGCCTTGGCATTAACGGTTATCAGTAATGAAAGAAGATGTGAAAATAAAGAGACTGTGGTCAAAGTTGCTTTGCTCTCTGTTCTCATTTCCACATTTGAGGCCTTGTACTGATTTCTCCAGTCTACACACTGCACCAGAACAGCTACTTTCTGTTTCTCCACTGGCTGTACCTTCTTAAGTCTTTCAATCTCACTCTCATCTTTCTTCACTGTCTGCTCCCACATCATCACTTTCTCCTGGTCTTCCTTCAGCTGGTTCCGCTCATAGTCCAGCTGGATGGCTAGACGGGTCTTCTGGGTCTCAAATTCAAGTCTATAATACCAGAGACAAGCAAATGAATGTAAGGCTTGTATTTACTGATGGAATGTATGAAATATCCTTGTCCTCAGTCTTCTTCTAAACTCATGCATGACTGTAATCAGTCTTGGAAACTTAGTGTTAACAGAAAACTTCACCGAGGAGATTCCAAGATCAGCTACAACCACAACCTTGAGTTTTACAGAGGGCTGTGAATGGACAGTGATGACATCTCAGTGTTGAACAATCCCTCTGCATAGAAATATCGTGAAGTCTATGGGATCATGAACAAATGCTTTGATGTATTTCGGGCTTAGATTAGAACATTGAAAGCACTATGTAGTAAAATGCGATGCAGCAACTTACATTCCCGTCTGACACAAAGTCAGCATTTACATCTTCAAAAAAGAAACAAACAAATGCAACGATTGTCTCTATAAACAAAGATCAGAATTGTCCAGGCTTTGGTCTTCTCTGTGGCTCTTTATAGATGTGAAAACTGGACAATAAACAAGCGAGACAGGAAAAACACTGATGCCTTTGAACTTTTGTGTTGGGACTTTTGAGAGTACCTTGGACAGCAAAGAAAACAAACAAAGGGATTCTCAACCAAATCAAGCCTCACTTCTCACTGGATGCCCAGATAAACAAATTTAAAAGAACCAGTTCATTGGCCATTATGCTTAAAACAACTGTGCTTGGAACAGTATAAGGTAAAAGAGTTAGAGGACAATGTGAACAAGATGAATGGATACAGAGGCCTAAAGAAGCCTAAAGACCCAAGCAGAAGACATAATATTCTGGAGAACCACAGCTCGTATGGTCACCAGGGGTCTGAATTGGCACCACTTAATAATAATAAAACTACATCAGAACAGTGTGATGAAAGTTTTATGTAGTAGCCTCTTCCTGGAGGCCCCCAGTGGCCAACTTGGATATTTTTAATTCATATAATTAAATAACATATTTTTCCCTGTAAGTCTGTTATCAGATGAACTAGGACACCGTTGGCTCTCTGTGTGTAATGTTCTGTGTAATGGCTCTGTGTTGAGGAGTGAGAGACCCCTGCTGTGAAAGCAATTCACCCCTCTCCACAAAGAAGACTGTGCTGAGTTAAAAGACAACACAACTGCAGCTTTCCTAATAACTGCCATGTACAACTGCCCCAAATAAAAAATATAATAGAAACACTTTTATTGATTTTCTTGCTCACCAATGAAGACAAAAATGCAATTTACTTGAGTAAATCACACATTTCCTTCAATATTCTCTTTCAATTTTATTAAGCATATTGTAAGCATATTTTACGTTTGAGGGAACGTCAAAGGAAGTGGAAATTGCATTTCATGCCTGCTGTGAAAAGGGGTTAATTTAGTATCTTCTCTGCGTGTCACTAATGAAATGAATGAATCGCACTTCATGTTTTCACTGTTATAACTGCTTTAAAACTTTGCACAGAATCACCTCTGTAGAGATGCGTAACCAATCTACAGCAGCACAGCCCACACATCACTCACCGTTTTTTGGCAATCTCATTCTGTCTCTTGACTTTCTCCTCTTCAAACTCTCGAATGTTTCTCACCCCAATCTCTTCACAAAATTCAAGAAATACTTCATCCTCCACCTGGAAAACATCACCATTAATGATACTGCACAGTTCACCACCACCCAGAATGACTATGACACTGTCCAGTCAGGGCTCTTACCAGGTTCATGCGGTCTCTCAGCTCAGTGATGTCTCTCTCACGTGACTGGATGATTCTCCTGATGTCGTTGATGCGCGGACCAAAATTTGCCAGTTCACTCTCCAACTTTGATTTCTCCTACAAAGACAGTCAGCAGTCAGTTTGGAATCACTTTCCAAATTAATAATGGCTGCTATTTAATTCAATAATACTTTATACAGTGTACACTGTAAAAATGGTTTGTCAGTTCAACATAAAAATACTTCATGTGGTAAAAAGCAATAGAACTAGTTTTATTCAAATTGAGTCAACACTGTGATCGAAACAATGTTTCATTCAAAGTATCTGAGCTGAATGAAACTAATTTACTTTTCTACATTTAATTTACCTTTTCTACAGTTTGGACTGAAACATTATAAACTGGACACCAGTATTGTCTAGGTGTCAGTATTTTTTAGATATTTTCATATTTTAAGTGAGATGTTAATAAATGATAAATTATATAGTGTAAATATCTATTTACTTGTCAAGTTATTTGCTTTGAGATTTCATCACCAATTTCCAATTCAAGACATTCTAGATATTAACTTTATTATAACTTTTATTACATTCCTCAGTATTGTAGAACTTCTGGTTATTATTTACAGCTCTGGTCATTCTAGTTAAATCTAAAATTTCCTAATGTTTTGCAGATTAGATAAATATTAGAAATCTACAAACTTACAAACAGGGCTGAGTTTCCCAAAGCATCTTAGCACAAAGATGACTCTTAAATGGTAGAGGGAGCATCACATGGAACACTCTCTCTACCAGTTAAGATAATCGTAATGCTAAGATGCGTTTGGTAACTGTAATATTTTATATACAGTAATATTGCTGCATATTTTTGTATAGAAACCTTTCTCGTACAACACATTTTCTTTAAAGTACCTGCATGTTGAGGGACAGGTGGCGAGTCTTGGTCTGTTCCAGGTCACTCTGAGAGTACTTCAGTCTCATCTGCAGCCCGTGGGCCTGAGACTGGACCTGCCTCAGCTCTGCCTCCTTCCTCTTCGCCTTCATCTGCTCCTGAACAGAGCCAATCATAAACAAAGAGCAAGTGTGAGAAAAGGTTAAACTGCATATATTCATTGTATTTTTGAAAAAAACTATATTGCTGCCATCAAATTAAAGCCAACCTGAAATTAAAACTGAGCCTAACTTGCCTTGTGAGTTCATGTCCCTGGTTATATTAAACATGACTGATCTTATCATATTATACACCAAAATTCCTGTTTTTCCATAATCTTTGATTGTAACGTAATGATTTTTGCTCGCTTCTAAAATATCTTCAGAGTTTTGATACATCCCTGCACTCCAGTGGGGGATGCTTTAGGGTTTTTTGGATTTATATTAAACTCTGTTCAGTAACAATGGTTGCTGTTACCTTCAGTTCCTCTGTTAGTTTCTCTTTCTTATCTTTGAGTTTGTCCACAGCTTTCTCATCCCAGCGTCGGGCCTTCGCTTTCAGATCACTGGCTCCTCCAGAGATCACTCCAGACTTTTGAAAAAGAGTGCCATCCAAGGCCACCGTCTTCAGACGAAAGACAAAAGGAAAATGGTACAGAGTTCTGACTTACTTTAAAGAAATGCTTTAACACCACAAACCTAACTATATGTTTCTACACTAGGGCTGTGCATAGTGTATATAAATAAAATAGTGTGCCTCAGACTGATTGTGCAACAAGTACAGACTTTTTTATCGTAAACAGAAATCTAACTAACCTCCTATTTAAGCAAATAGAAAAACATACAAAAAACACTATTCACTGTTGTGCAAAATAAAAATAATAAAATGCTAATAGCTACTGCAAGCACATTTTTGTGCACTGTAAGGCTGAACAAGGACACACATTTGCACTGATGTGAAGCACTGTTCATATAAAGCATCAAAAGCTATTTAATTGTTAATGGCGCCCTCTTGTGGAGTATTTTAGCATGCTAAACGTGAATGAGTTCCATGAGGTGTTACAGTCAGGCTATTAACACAAATAAATATGTATACTTTTTTAATATAGGATTACAGAAACTAATAAATATATGGTATCTTCCACGCAAAAACCTTCCATCTCCATTTTTGACATTTTTACTTTTGGCATAATTTGAAAAGTTGTGTTACTCATTAGATTGTATTAAAATTTTATGACCAAGGACCAATAGAAACGTCTTTTGTAACCTGTCAAGTTAACCGCTTTGGAGATACAAAGATTTGTTTTGACACCGACAATACATTTCGCTTAAAAAAGCTACTACTGCGTCATACATTTTATCATACAGTCTATGCATTTTACACACAACACTAAGATGAGTGAGGTGTTAAACTGATTGGTTGCTTGTTCTAAAGCTTCTATTGATATTGATAAAAAAAGTTGAGTCATGAGTTTCTGATGACAGCCACGACTCACCTTATGTCGGTAAGGTCCTCCAAAAGCAATCCTGCGAGCGTCCTCCACATTCTCACACACGAGAGCATTTCCACAGGCATACTGTAGTGCTTTCTTTATGTGGGGTGGCTCATAGCGGATCACGTCAATCACCAGCTTGGCTTCTCGCAGCTCCCTCAACTTCTCATCTGTGGGCTTGACCTTCAAGGAGGTATATAAGAGAAACATAAACCAAATACAAATAAAATTTCACTGAAAACTGATGAATAATTCTTTGTTGCTGTCTTAAAGAAATTCAGAATATACTGTACTTCCAGGTAGTCCAGGGGCAGGAAGGTCTCTGGTTCTCCTCTCTGCTCTTTGATGTACTGGATGCAGTCTCTGCCTGTCTTCTCTGAGTCCACAATGATGGCATCCATGTTCTTTCCCAGCACCTTTGTCACAGCAATCTGATACTTCTTCTGTGTGGGCTGGCACAGGTCAATCAGCCTGCCATACTGATTAGATCAAGATAATAAAAGGTTTTAAAACAGATAGACTAAAAAGCCAACATCAAAATAATAAACATGGTGTTTATTGGTGTTAATGATAAAAATAAAAATAAATAAAAATCCATCACTCACCACTGAGCCAGGGTAGAGTCTCTTAATGCTCTCCATGATCTCAGCTTTGCGCTGCTGACGACTGTTCTCCTGACGGTCAATTCTGGCATCTCCAAGCTGCTCCATCACCTGCAGCCAACATCATTCAAATCAAAACACTGTGTTCACAGATGCATGGTAACATTACTTAATTTACATTATTAAGTATTGTTTACTTTAACCTGCAATCTGCAGTGGTTTATTTAAATGTGCAGGACTTTCCCAATAACGAGGCCTTACCTGGTTTAATTCCATATTTATCTCATCGATCCTCCGTTTGGCGAGCTCTACTTCCTCAGTCAACTCCTCCTCCATTCTCCTCTGTTCATCCAGAGACTGCCTGATTTAGAAAGAGAATATAACCCCTCATTCAGTATTAATATTTATACATCAAGAAGAAAATTGAACATGAATTACTGTGAAACAAAGTTTTTGGTTATACCTGCTAGTCGCAATGTAATCTTCCAGCTTCTCAATGCGTTTCTGGTTTTCCTCTATCTCTCTTATTTTCTGCTTTATTTTAGCCTGCAATTAACAACAATACAGCAATTTCTTTCAGTGTTCAATTCACAATGCTAAAAGAGTACCCCACAATCAGTATACAAAAACAATCACTACAGCAAATAGCAAGGCTGTTTCTGAACAACATTCTCGGAGGCTGGTTATCCAACCCAACAAAACTTCATTAATGTTGCTTAATTTATATAAAATAAAACAATTCAATAAATTCTACACTCTTGTGGGGCCCCATGGTGATGTATTGGGCCCCATGGTGGTTTGGGGGCTCCAATTAACTGCTCATACTGCTTAAAGCAGGAAAACAGGTAATGATTATTCTTAAATTTTTGCGTAACTCCACCTCTGTCTCCACTTTCTTCCTCTCCTCCAGGTCCAGTCTGTCCTGGTCAGCCTTCTGATCGCGGTTGAACTTCTCCAGCTCCTGTGCCAGCGTGGCTGCCCGCTTACTGGCCTCCTCCTTCAGCCTGTGGTACTGCTTCACCTGTAGACCAAGAACAGGCATATAGAAAAAAAAGATAACTATATGGCCAAAAAAATAAAGCCTGCATCACTTAGACAGTAACAGTGAAAAAATAAATGTAACAACAACAGCCTGAATCTGAAAGTTCTGTTTCATAATCCAGAGCTCTGAAATAAGCTTGAGTATAGAACTGTGCCTGAAAGTCCTCCCTCCCAGCTAGTCTACAAGCACATATATTTTCACTCTCCCGTATCTGAGGAGTACTCAAACCCCGCCCCCCACCCTTCACCCTCTTTTTTGTGACTTTCCCTCCTGTAGATCAGCGATGTCTACTTCTGCTCCTGGATGCTCAGAATCAGATTGGTTTGAGCAGAGAAAACACCAAAACCAGGCTGGATTGAAGCCCAATTTACACTTATCTGACAATATGGGACTGGATTGGGACATGACAGTTTCAGATTGTAATAAAGGCAGTTTTGTTAACGTTTATATTTTAAACTGTTGGATGCTGGTGGTTGGAGTTATAGAAGATTGAATAAGTTCAGTCTTAGAGCCCAATAGCTCACATATTTCTTTATTTGACCAATCAAGACACATCAATCTTACAATGCATTTAAAAACATGAAAGAATTCTGGATGGAGGACAGACACAGGCTCCTTTTACCAATTATTTGAAGATCATCTAGCATTGAATGATTGCAGCTCTGAATGTTATACTCAAGCCCACGCACAGACATTTTAGGGATAAGGGGCTCAAAAGGAAAAGGGTGACAGACTCCGCTGAGTCTGGTATAAATCCCTGTAAATCCCATGTTTGCAATAATGAGAACTTACCATCTCTTATTGCCTACTTTATGATTGGTTGCTGGTCAAAGTAACAACTTTCATAAAGAGATTATCAGCGTTTTACTGGTGGGATTTCCAGCACTGGTGCTGATTGAAAACAAATCTCCACTGGTGGTCAATACTGCATCAGAGAGAGCACCCAAGAGCGATGAAGCTTGTAGAACCCAAGACAACCTGCAAACTCTATTGCTGAGTTTCACTGCATTGAAATGATTTTTGAAGAATGGCAAAGGCAATATAGAACACAATTACTATACATAGCTACCAAGAGGGCACCTGTACAGCCAAAGGGGCAGGAGCTCAAGCCGCCCTGGGGGTCCATCTGTACACGTGCCTGATTAAACTAATATAAGAGACTATATAATAACATAATTAGAGACTGCCCATTTATGTTTCTGCTTTTTTTTCTTTTTAGTAAGCAGACAAACAGGACAAGAACCGAGATCATTTCACAAGTTTTGTCCATGACTAAAAACGTGTCAAACCGAAATAACTGAAAACCCTACATTATCAGTGACTTTGAAGTTTGAGAAGCTGTTATTCTATAACCATGATTTCACTGCTGACATGGTGTGTTTCTGATGCTACACTGTAAAATTACTGTCTACAATCTTATAAAACTTGTCTTGTTTTATCAGATGGCTGTGTTTAAGGCCTATTGAGACCTACACTATCGCTCTAAATCATCCAGTGGTCCTGAAGTTACGAGCTAGCAACTACACAGAACCTGCAGACAACATCCAGAGAATACAGAGAAAAGACTATGGAGCTTTCTGAAGCTAATCTGACCTGGTTTTCCTCCAGGGTGAGGTCCTGGCCCTGACTCTGAGCCTCCTCCTCCATGCGCTCCTCAAACTCCTGCCTGGCCATCTCCACAGCCCCCTGCTCTCGGTCCAGCTCCTCCATGTCTGCCTTACGCTTCTTATACATCTTCTGAGCATTCTGCAAAGACTTGCGGGCCGCTTCCAGCTTCTTAATCTTGTGGGAGGTGTTCTCCTTGGCTTTGATGTACAGTGGCCGTTTCTGGTTCAGCTCTGCATCTTTCTCTCTGTAGTGGGCAGATACAGGTCTTAGAGAGTTCTAGCAAAAATAAACTGTTAAAGCAAATCTTAAAGTTAAGACTAATCTCATTTCCCCACATCTTCAGAAACATTTCCCAAAGTAGAGGCCCTCATTTAAACTAACTCCCATCAGTTTTTGGTTAATTCTTAATGTAGTCTGTCCAGGTTCCTAGCAGCCTGAAAAGATCATCTTTCACTTTAGACAAAACAGAGTTTCTGATCACATACTTTATCTCTTTCTCCACGTTCTGCTGGTCCCTCATCATCCTCCCCAGCTCTTTCTTCTTCTCCTTCAGTTCATCTTCGATGTGGTCCATCTTCTTTCTGTCTTTCTCGATCTCACGGTTGCGCTGCGACAGCTCTCGATTCAGCTTCTCAATCTCCGCTTCATTGTGGTAGAGCTTGAAGAGCTGCAACTGCACATGAGCCCTAACCACCTCGTCCTTTAGCCGCTGGTACCGCTCAGCCTGGAGAACAGACACAAGGTTCATGTTTATATTCTTAGAAATAAAGGTGCTAAAATGGATTAGAAGAGACACATTTAGTTTCCTAAAGCAGAGGCTCTCCTTGCTAAGCCTTGCTCCAACTCCACTCACAACGCATAGAGACAGAGCAAAAGTGTGGACCATCCAAGGGTCCCTGAAGACTGGTTTGAGAACCACTGCCTTTGAATCGTTCCTTCAAAAAGAATGAAAATGAGACATGCGAATGTGAAGAGCTTTTTCAAGCTCTTAAGTTAAAAAAAATCCACATAATGTATAAGTGTTACATTAATAAATAAGTGTTCTATACCAAATACAGTTTTTTAAAACCACACATCCAATAAACTTTTTGCAGGAGTGTACCTTGTGTAAGAGGCTAAGAAGATAAAATTAAAGGTGCCAAAAAAGGTTCTTCGGAGAAGATCACTGGAAGAAGCGTTCCCTACAGGACTTTTCAGTGGATGGTTCCCTAAAAAAGTGTTTTTTTTAAATGAGATGTGCAAGTTTGAAGGCCATTCTTCAAGTTTAAAGAAGAGTTTTTCCTAGGACTGTACATCCAAGCCAAGAATCAAATTCGGAACCTTTATTATCATTCTTAAAAAAAAGGTGCCACAAACAGTGGAGTTATGCCATAAAAATATATGGATATTTGGTTCCCTAAAGAACCATGAGTGAAAAGAGATTTGTGAATGTGAAGGACCTTTTTAAGTTTGACAGATGCTCCACAAAATGTAAGGTTCTTCCAACTTTAAAAAGGTTCTTCACACTCACACACCTGATTTACAAAAACAGTTCCCTCCCTGAAGAAACATCAATTTAAAGGTTCTTTAAGAGAGACAAAAGTAGTTCCTTAATGGCACAAAAAACCCTTAAGAGTATTCTGGAGTTTCTAAATTTTTAATAAATCTCACTAATGATGTTATATATTTTTGTGAATTCAGCACTCGGCACCTCCTCTTTCTCCTGCTTGGCCTCCTTGCGCTCAGCTGCGATGTTCTTCTTCCGATGATAGTTGAACTGTGTGTCCTCCTCTGCCTTTACCATCTCTTTCTTCCTGCGGTCATATTCCTGAGCTAGTTCCCCCGAGCGGGAAATCTCCTCAAAAAGAGCTGTCCTCTCCTTCGGGTTCTTCATGGCTATGGACTCAACAGCACCCTGACAGACCAAGCAAGGGAATCAAACATCTCAACAAGGAAGAGCAGCTTTAATTTGAATACTCTGACACTAAATGGACTTTTGTACCTGAAACACTAGAAAGTTCCTGGCCTTGATGAGGATGCCCAGTTTCTCCAGTTCCTCACTGTAGTCAGAGAGTCCAACCACCTTGCTGTCAAGCCTGTATTCTGAAGAGGAACCTAAAACATACACAGATGCAAACAGCCTTCTAGTGTAACTTGGATGTTGTGATAATGATATGAACTGCATTGAATTCTATTTAAATGACTTCTTTTAGCTGTGTGACAAAACTAAAATGACTATTTATTTTATTTTACTGTGCTTTGCAAGTTCATTTAACAATATATAATAGTAACAACAATAGTGTGCATATGATATGGATTGATATGGATTAATATGGATTTTTTCATGCTTTTTTTGAGTAAAAAGAGTATTACTGTTTTAAGCACATAGCAAAAGTTGAAAAATCACTATTCGGTTTGGAAAAAACAACAAACAAATAAATAAACATACTGTATATGTAACCTTTTAAAAAATGTATTTTATAATGATGATACAGGCTTGCTGTTTGAAACATTTCATTGTTTGAAATATTTCATTGCTTGAAACGACACCTGGGATTAAGAATAGTCATCTTGATTGAAGTATTTTTTTAAAAGCCTAGTTTTTTAACTGTGTACATGCTTTTGCTGTACAGCAGAGTGGTTAAGTCACTCAGATGTAATGCTACAGCACTCTAGGGATGTACTTGTGTAAAGCAATTTAATCTGCACTGTTATCACAACCCTTAATGGTATATTTATCAAGGGAACTCATCATGATAATGATGAAAATACAATGAATCATGCAGTCTTACAGCCTACAGACAAAAACTATTAGGACCAGCTTCTCAGACCCAGATTAGGGCTAAGCCTGCACTAAAAAGAACTTTCAAGGCTGAAATAACACTGGCATTGGTACAAAACTAGACTTAATCTATGTATGGAAACCAGCTGCTAAATGCAGAAATGAGGGCAAAAAAATAAAACTGGTATGAATGTACTGTATGTCACACTGTGTACCTATTATGACCCGTGTGAATGTGCGTTCATTGTCGCTGTCCTCACAGTACACCATGCTCACAAACGCACGGTTAGCTGCGGGTTTCCCCACTGGAGCTCCGTGGATCAGGTCCTTCAGGGTTTTAACACGGAGATTACTCGTCTTCTCTGCCAAAACAAAGCTGATGGCATCCATCAAGTTTGACTTCCCTAAATAACAAAGACAATATGACAACATAAAGCAATACCACAAACACATGTACATTTAAAGTATTTTTAAAATGTACAACATTTTCAAATATGTAGAAGTGGGTAACAACCAGTTCATATACATTTATTCAGTGTCATGCACTTGGATTTGTACTGTATTACATATTTCAAAAGGATAATCATATTTCATCTTCATCTTTGAAATTTCAAAATGATCTACAAATAATAATAACCAACTCTAACTTCTTTAACACTGCTGTAGGAACAAAACCTTGCACAGTTGTATACAAAAATTTGAATATCACTTGTCAAATGATGCGTTTTGTGGATTTTCAAAGTAAAAATAGATGATGTGTACTTATTTTCACTTGAAAATCAACAAAACATAATGCAACAAGGAATGCTCAAAATGTTGCATATAGACTGAATCTCCTTCACTTAAAAATGCCAGCTGTTCTTTACATTGTGTTACAATTTCATGATGAATCGACAAACAGCGATGGTCCAAAAGTACTTCAAAAAAAATATCTCTCATCTTTGAGCTTTGTCATTTTACTTTAGAATGAAGGGAACCAAAAAAGAGAAGAAAAGCACCTAACAAAATGCGCTGACAGATACTGGATGTATTGAGAGGTTCCACTGCAGTGCTATAGAGAACTCAGTTCTTGAGGCTGTTTTTGATCTAATACTTTTTAAGTTAAACTCAAATATTTTTTTATTACTTTTACTTAAATTAATTCATAATGTTACTGAAACATCAATACTTTCACCTAGATATTTTGTTTTAGGCTACTCTGGCATATGGAAGCCCCTTTCTGCCACTGGAAAAAAGTATATAGCCATTTAGTTAGTCATAATAATGAGAAAGCTTTCCAAAATTATGACTTAGTATCGCATAATAGTGACGGAGTATATCCTAAGTATGACTTAGCATCTCATAATTATGACTTAATATCTCATAATTATTTATTAGCATCTCATAATAATCAGTCATAATTATGACTTGGTTTCTCATAATTATGACTTAGTATCTCATAATAATTAGATTCAGTCTCATAATTATTACTTACTTTCTCATACTTATGACTCAGTATGTCAATAATTAGACATTAATTAGAATTCCTCATAAATATGACTTGGTATTCCTATTATTATGAGATGCTAAGTCATAATCATAGAAAACTTTCTCGTTATTATAACTGGCGGAAACGGGCTTCCACAAAAGCCAGCACTTCAAAATGCCTCGTTTATGGGGGGATTGTCTGTAGGCGCTGAGCTAGACTGGGGGGCGTGACTCACAGGAGACAGAGAGGATCGCTTAAAACGCAGATCACTACATGCAACAGGGCGGAGCAGCGTCCATTCCGTCCTTCTGTGAGTCTGTTTAATAGACAGCAGAACATCTGAGGATCAGACTGACATTAATAGAGCCTCCTCGCAGTCAGCCTCGCACACAGATGATGCTCAGTGTCGCCAAAACAGCCTCGTCCGCGCTTACCTGATCCATTTGGTCCAATTATCGCTGTGAATTTGTGGAAAGGTCCTATTATTTGTCGACCTTTGTACGATTTGAAATTTTCGATCTCGATTAGTTTTAAGTAACCCATTCTGCTGCCGCTGCTGCGCTGTGCTATCTCGGGTTGACGTCAGATAAAGTCCAGTTCTTCTCTTATGCTGCTTTTATTTATTGTCTTCTGCAGTCGAAGCGTTTTAAAACGTCTACATGTGAAAAACAACATTTAGCGTTCCAGTCTTTCAGTCTACCACCTCTGCACACGCCCCCCTTCATTAACGCGGGTTGCAGCATCTGGGCATAATAAAAGTCCTCCCCGGCCCCTTGAACCCCAAGTTTTTTGGAGAGGGGTCGTCCGGTACTCTTTGATTATTAAATTAATTAATCCATGTACACTGTAATATCCTGTAAAATACACTATATAGCTTTTAACCACCTTAGACAACTTCCCTGAAATAAAAGCAAACGAATATTCTCGGATTAAATACACTTAATCCTGAATTTATTATTCAGTTATTAATATCAAGACTCATTATTCTGTAATTCCTATAAAGTGTACAGTAACTACTATGAAACCAATACGTAGGTTATCAAAATTAGCAGTTGAACTGTTATGGATATCAGCCCTCCAGGACCGGAGATAATCACCCCTGGTTTAAGGGGTTCTCAATATTATCTATTCTAGTCTTTTTTCTATATGATATTCATCATATTACATATTATTATATATTTTATTGTTAAGTTATTAATCTTAGGTTTTGTCCTCAGTCATATTATTCAGTAACTACTACAAATAATTCAGAATATAAATCTATGAAAGTTATGTTTACATAACCTTAGATAATAAGCTACCTGAAATGGCATTTTCAGTTCGTTGTTGTTTGACAGAATTAATGGTCAGCTTCTGTACTTTAATCTATAGTTTCCTGTATTAAAAATGATCTTTTATCGGTAGGAGCTCTCCGTGGTGCTGAATCTAGATGTTTGTAGCCCAAATTCTGAGCTTGACCTCCATGTTAGAGACTAAACAACATAACACGATGAAACTCATATACGATAAAAGCTTTCATTAAAAACCATGTTGGGCTTACAACAACGCTAAAGTGAATCTTGTGTAGAACAGCGCCTGCAATCCCACTACGTTACAGACTGAACGTTTACTGCGCATGTCTGGTTACCATGGCTACACAGCCTCCAAACAAAGTTTAGCAGAGACCGGCAGTGCTGCATTAGGCGAACGTTAAACGATCACAGGTAAGATTTTTTTCTTTTTTTTGCTCTTTCTCTTACCTCTCTTACCTCCACCTACCGTGGACACATTTTCTTCCAAAATATTCATTTAGAAGCTGAATAGAAAGTGGTTTAGTTAGCCTAAAAGTGGAACCTAAAAGTAAACCAGCCTCAGTAAGGAACGAAGCTGAAGTCCGCTTTCGCCAGCTGCTTGTTCTTGTTGAATTTTCCCGTTCCACCTTAAATGGTGCACAGAAAGCGCCAGACTGTTACTGCTGCGCCATTTAAGGTGGAACCGGAAAATTCCAACAAGAAGCTGGCGAAAGCTGACTTCAGCTTCGTCTGTAACGATAACAGTTACCGGCCAGGTCTGCTAGCTAGCTAAGTTACTGACTAAACATCTTAAACTTTAGAAGTTTTCAGTACATTACAGAAAAATTCGTTTTCTCTGTAATGAATCACACTGAAGTTATTTACAGAGTGGCTTGCATCCCATTATCGAAACTATTTCAGGAAGATGACTGTTCAAAAGTGCTTGAGCGATAATGCTCCTGTACAGAAAAGATGGCTGTGGAGAAGGTCCATTTGATGTTTTGGCCTGGTCAAAGTCCAAACTTTAAACTCCACTGAGAACATCTGACTTTACGTTAACCACACATTCAGTGGACAAAGGTTTTCCACTGACCAGCTGTGGGATGGCATTAAACTGAGTGAATCACCACTGACATCTATTTTACTTTTAAGTCTGTCTGCAACTTTAACCCCAAAGACACTATTTGGAACAATCTAAAGGAAAAACTGTTCCATGTAGAGTCGTATGCAAAAGTTGGGGCACCCCTGGTAAAACTGGCATGCTTTTTGTTTTTCTAAGTAAATTAAGTACACATCCTCTATAGAGAACACACTTCTTTACATTTTAATGCTCAATTACTGTTTACTAGCTGATTTTAATGTATTGGGGAATAATAAAACCTGTGCAAAGGTTATAGGTTTTATCAAAAAGGTTTTGTTCCATTTTTTAGTCCTTACTTGTTTGTTAACATTTTATTTATTGCTAAATTAAAATGCTAATACACTCTTTCACATGCCAAGAGTTTACTTTCATCTACACTCTTAAAAAAGATGGTTTTTCAAGGGTTCGTTAGTAAAGGTGATGAGTTCTATATAGAACCATTTCATGCTTAAATGGTTCTTCAGATTGATGCAGAAGGAAACCATTTGAAAATGGTTCTATATAGCACCAAAAAAGGTTCTGATATTATTACAAGGGTGGCATTTTGAATTTCTATTTGTGATGTCACAAAAACAAACACATTCACGCATCCTGTTCAGCCTAAAGTCCCTCCCAGTCACACTGAAGTTATAAAGGGTGTTTCAGAGTGTTTTGAATGAGGCCCAGCCAATCAGAACAACACAGATCATTTACATACATCAGTCTTAAAGGCACAGTAAGAGAAGCAGTCTGTTTAATTCCTAAGCATGAGCAGAGGTTATAAAATCTAAGAAAAATCTAGGATACTGGCCCTTTAATGTACCACATTCCTATGGTTTACACTGTGTAGCAGCGCTAATGGAGAGTTTCTCTCGTGCCCAGTGTGGGAGGCTGTGAGACCTGCAGCAGGCTGTGCGGTGTGAGATGTATAAGCTGGACTTACCGGTGGACTCCCGCGCGCTGCAGGCCGTGGAGCGGCGGCGAGCTGCTGAGTCCGCGCGCCACAAGCGCATCTTCAGCACGAGGGAGAGAGTACTCGGCGTGGACGCGCGCGCGCTCGAGCGGCAGGTGGCGGAGCGGCGGGGTCAGGAGGAGGCGGAGAAGCAGCGGGACAGAGCGCACGGTACAGTCTGCACGAGACAGACTAAACTAACAGCACTGTGAGAAACAAGGCGCTCAGCTTGTGTTTTTATGTTATGCAGATATGCTGCGTGTTTCCATTGACCGAATGGCGCTGGAGCAGCAGAGAGAGGAGGAGCACAGGAGGAGAGAGCTGGCCCAGGAGCTCGTGCGCTATCGGGCGCTGCACCAGCGTGCTGAGGACTCTCGGGATGCAGATATCAATTATAAACGCCAGAGGGTGCCAGAAGACAATTTATCCACTGCACAGTCATGTGGACCTGCCAGTATGCAGGTTTTCCAGGTACTCACAGGGCTGGGATATCACATTCAGAGTATATATTCATAACACTAAATATTTAAAAAATATTATATTTAGTTGTTAAAGCTCTTGTAATTTTCTATTAAATATGTTTTCTGCTTTTTCCTGAATAACTTGTACTTAATGGTCATACTGAATGGAAGTTAAATAAACGTATGCGTGTTATTGAGGATGCTGTGGTATTGAGTCTGACTGTGTTTCTGAATATGTGTGTGTTCAGGGTGAAGGAGTTGGGGAGGATGAACGGAAGAGGGCTGAGATGGAGCTGAATGAGAGATCGCTCCGAGCTCAAAGAGAAGAACGGGAGAGGCAAGAAAACGAACAGAAACAAAAAGGTAAACACGGACAAGTGTTCACCATCTAAACTCCTCATATCCCAGTCTTTACAGCCTCTGAGCTCCCACTGAAGACTCTGCTGCAGTGGGTAATGTTGTGTAATGTTGTAATGTTCAAGTATTTGCTTTGGCTTAGTAGGTGTGGGGAGAGTAAAGATGTAGTGTAAGCAGTGTTTTTTGTGTTTACAGAGCTGTTGAGAGTAAAGGAGCTGCTGCAGCAGGACCTGAGAGCAATCCAGCTGGATGCACTGGAGGAGGAGTGCAAACGAGCCACATGCATCGCCCTCAAAAGCTACAACCAGGCTCAGGTAAAGAGAGAGAGAGAGAGAGAGAGAGTCAGAGAGTGAAAGAGAGAATGAGAGAAAAAGAGGGAGCGAAAGAGAGAGATGAAGAAAGAGGGAGAGACAAAAAAAGAGAGAAAAATGAAAGAGCCTGAGAGTCAGAGAGCTAAAGAGAGAGAGAGAGAGACAGCAGAGGAAAGGAGAGAGAAAGAGGGAGAAAAAGAGAAACGAAGACAGAGGGAGAGACCAAGAGTGAAGAATGAAAGAGGGAGTCAGGGAGATAAAGAAAAAAAGACAGCAGAAGTAAGGAGAGGAAGAAAGAAGGAGAGAAAAAGAGGGAGAAGAATGAAAGAGACTTAGTGTCAGAGAGCTAAAGAGAGAGACAGTAGAAGAAAGGAGAGAGAAAGAGGGAGAGCAAGAGAGCAGAAGAAAGACAAGAGAGAGAGAGAGAGAGCAGAAGAAACAGAAAAGAAAGAGAGGAGGAAAAAAGAGCCAGAAAGAGAGAGTGACAGACAGAGAGCAAGAGAAAGAGGGAGTGACAGAGAAAAAACAAGAAAGAGAGCAAGGGGGGAAGGGGCAGAGGAAAAGAGACAGAAAGAAAAAATACAGACAGAAAAAGAGAGAGAAAAAGTAGGAGTGAGAGTCAGAGACAGAAAGAAAATGACAGTGTGAGAGAGAGCAGGAAAGAGAAGGGAAAAGACAGTAAGAGATACAAGAACAGAAAGAGAGAGAGAGAGAGAGAGAGAGAGAGAGAGAGCACTCAGAGGGGCTGCTCACAGGGTATTCAGACAGCGAGCCTCTTCCTCTGACTGAGCTCTGAACCCGTTTGCTCAGCAACAGACAAGTTAGTCACATGTTGCTGTTTTTGCAGGTTATTCTCTGTATTGAATCAGCATGAAAACCTTCAGCTGTTTTGATTTTCAGCATCACTTGTGGTCGATAAGAAGTGACCCTCCAGGGTCACCATAAATTGCTGAGGTTTAAGGTCAAAGCTGATCCCTAAACTCTGCCCCTGAATGACCTTATGCAGGCAGATGAGAGGCAGGAGAGAGAGAGGCAGGAGAAGCTGAGGCGGGAGGGCGAGGAGATGGCGGAGGTGTGGCACATGGTGACCTCTGACCTGTTGACCGAATGTCCAGAGGCTGCTAAAAGAAAGAGTGAGGGGTCAGCAGTGGCCCCTCGAGTGCTGCCGGACCACTGGAAGGGGATGAGCCCTGAGCAGCTCAGCGCCATCTACAGACAGAGAGAGGAACAGCGTGCTGACAGAGAGGTGAGGCGCAGCTGACAACCTTAAATTTGAGCTTATACTGATGTGACTTACAGGAATGAGCGCTGGTTCTCGAGTACTCGCTTAATCGTGCTGATATTCGAACACTGTTTGGGTTTTTGTTTCGTTTTATCACGGGCAGAATATTTAAGAGAGAAAATATACAGACTGACAATTCGAAAAGCTGATTTTATGCTTTAACAGGACTGTAAAATGTGGCGTGTTCACTCATGTTCAACTAAGTATATTATATTACACTTTGTACAAATCACGAGGGACATATTATTAAAGGGAACTCGGACTGACTGTGAAGACATGTAAGCCTTAATACAGTGTACATGTCCAGTGCTCTTAAATATGCTGTATCAACTAAACAAAAAACGTTATCAAAAATAATCATCTCTCTTATAGTAGGTTGCCATTTTTGTTGTGACATCAAATGGTTGCTCTCTCTTTTTTGTGCATTTGGTGCGGATCAGTGAGCTAATTTAACTCAAATATATCATTCAGCCTTTCCAACTTTATCTAGAGCGTGACGTAGCCCAGAGAAAAACATATTTGATTGTCTTATGTTCTCTTGGACTGAGTCCAGTGCAGCCATATGACATCATCACAGTGTGACAACGGCCACCCACCAGTAGAATGATTTTGTCTATTTATATTTTTTACAATAAACAAAACATTTATATTTGTTTTATACATCATATTCAGTAGTATTGTACATGTACACTGTTTTAACCCTTTGTGGTCCAAGAACTCTCCTGTGCATCAAATTGATTGTTTCTATATTTATTTGTCTGTCTTTGTGACAACTGGTGGATTTGTGTGTCCTTCTACATTCTGTATGAAACAGACCAATGGACACTCAGGAAATCACTAACGACTGACCCATCACGCTAGAAACCCTTCATTCATCATTTAGTCCACATCGGGGACACATGTGAAATGGCGTGCAAAGAGTTGCAGCTGCTGAAGTTGCTGAAGCTGTTTCTCATTATAGAGAGAGTTGAGACTGTTCTGAACATTTTTACATAAAACATGTGGGTATCATTTCGAATCGAAGATACGCAAAAATCGAGAAAATGCCCTCAGACCCCAGAGGGTTAAGACATTAAAGGTTCCCTTTAAGGACGAGACTGAGAAGGCAAAGAGTGTGCAGTCAGGTATGGCACAGCTTTTTCATTAACTAGGCCAAGTAACTTACTCTAGCTGATGTTAGCACTCCAGAAACAGTGAGAATATATCTCTCTGACAAACAAACATGTTGATACATCGAGCACCTGTAAGAAGACAATGAGTCCTCATCAGCGTCCAGCGTAGCTCATCTGAAGAAGCAGCCGCTGTTACCAAACACGAGAACCTATTGATTTTCTTCAGATACTCTGAATAAGAGAACGCTTTAAAATGTTTCTCTACATGTTGCTACACCACTGCTGTTATGAAGGACCAGACTTGCCAAATTGAAAAATAAATAAATTTAAAAAATAAATGGCTCAGTAAATTAATCAATAAATAAAAAAACTAAATAAAGTATATATTGCTTATTGTGATTGTAATTATACACATATTTCCTTTTTCTGCAGTTATATATTTCTCAATTTATTTATTTCTGTATTATTTATTTTATTAATGCCATTTTTATATTTTTTCCATATCTATATTTTTAACAATTGTTCACTTTATTCTTTGATTCATGTATTTATTTATTTATTTTTTTCATCAATTCATTTATTTATTTTTTCATTAATTCATTTATTTATTTCTGTATTTCTTCGTTCATATGATAATGAGGGGGCGTGTTTTTCACGTTCAGGCTTAGCAATCAAGACCAGGAGGAGAAGAGCTGATTAAACTGTTCTTTCACCAACTCCATAAAGAACTGCACGGACAGACAAACCTGCCGATAAATAACTCTCGATGGCTCCACAGGCCGTATGTGAGAAGGGCGTCCGAATGTCTGAGTGATCTGAATTTTACAGAAAAAGACGATGAACCACCTCCTCCAAAGTTCTGAACACTACAGGGTCAACCTCTGTATCAGCAGAGGCAGCAAAATGGATCAAACTGTCCCCACAGCCTCCACACCAACGAGTAAATAATCCAGACCTGCATTTTCAGCCAGATCAGCCGAGACTCTCTGATCTCTGACTATCTGCTGCTGTAAGAAGCCATTACTGTACTGTCTTGTCCTTAGTTACCGCTGAGAGAGCAAGACATGTACAATCGATCTAGAGTCTGACATCGATCAACCAATAGGAATATTAAGACGCTGTGACATCATTGACTGACAGCCCCTTTATTAGCATAAGGACAAGGAAATACAGAAATAAATAGAGAAATAAATAAATATAGAAATTAATAGTAATGGAAATAAATTGAAATAAATTAATAGAAAAACAGAATTTTTTTTAATAAAGAACATAAATAACAAAAGAAAAATACAAAAAATAGTGAGGAGGGTAAATTACTAAACAGACATAAATAAATGCAGACATATTAATTTATGTAAGATTTTAATTATTAATATATTAATTATGTATATTTGTTTATTTTTAGATTTATCATCATTATTCCCTGCAATTCTACTTCATATATTAATTTACGTCATTTATTTAAGTCATTTATTTTTAATTTATTTATTTTTCATTTTGGCAAATCTGGTCCTCCATAGCTGTCACCTGAGCATGTTTATCTATGGTCTTGTTTCTTGCTTCTTCCTTCCCTGTGGTTTACCAATAATCCATTCATTAAACCCTACGGACTCTTAAATATCAAAATTAGTTGAAATGCACATCCCCAGTGACCAATTTGGACTGTTTTTCAGTCACATACCATAGTTTTTGCTTACATACCTATTTTGATCGTTTTTTTTTCAATTAACAATTAACATGCTCTTTGAAAGACTGTGAAGAGTACAAAACACCTTAATTCAATCTTAGTATGATGTGTTTTGGCCATTTTTTATTCCTCTGTAAAGAAAAAGGTCATTTTCTGGGTGTTGATTTTGTAGATCTCTAGCTTTAGACATTTGAACCTCATTTACTGACATTCAAGTAACATTAAGTATTCTTAACTTGGGAATGCAGTGAAATCATGTCTCTGGCTTATATTGCAGCCTGTTAGCTATCAGCCCAGCTGGTCAGTTTCCTGTAATGAGGACAGAATACAGTCCATTTAACTTACAGTTACATTTAACAAAATAGTCTAAATCAGTTACTCATAGAAATTTTGTTAGTGATATGCAACATTATATGGATATATCAGTGTCAGAAGTTTCAAACTGGAGCTAAATTAGCTAACAGGCTATGGATAAATCAAATCACATCATATCTGCCTCAAACTGCATTAAGCTGTTAAATAATGTCAAACATACTCACTTATGTAATTCCTAACATGGTAAGACATAACTTTTGTATGTTTTGTGTCTATAAAAAACGTTTGTTAATATGCTGCATAGCTATCAGTAGTAGCACTCATTTATTTTGAAGCCTGAAGTCCATTTTTATACATGACAGAGTCGTACAGTATTAGAAACCACATAAACAAGTCTATTTAAGATTACTTTACAACTCAACATAGTTTACAGCAAGTATGTCTTTATTTAGCCATTAAGTTGGATTGATATTAACTGGTGGCTATAAGCTTCCATTACTTGTTAGTAAAGCCTTGTAGCTCCAGTGCACAACTAAAGAAGCAAACCTGAGACACTAAACATGCTGGCTGATCAGACATTTGGGCTTTGAGGGAAACGGTGAAACAGTTGAAGAGAGGATTACAGGAATCAATGCGAGAGATGATGAAAGCATTAACCAGCATTACTGCGTCACTACTGCTGAAAAGAGCTCTCCCACACTTTCACTTGCCCTTTGGAATCGACCGCTGTTTGTCTGCGCCCATTTTGAGTTCATTTATCTTGATCTCACAGGATCAGTGTCCTCACTGTGCTGTTTGCACTGCTATCCCTCTTTCTGTTCTTGCTGCAGAAACAGAGGCAGCTGGAGAGGCAGAGGGAGGTGGCGTGGGATTTACAGCAGCTGGAGCAGGCCAGGCAGCAGGTGGAGGAAGAGGGAAGAATGAGAGAGTTGGAGAAAGAGAGGAGACTACAGCTGGACAAGTACAACCAGCAGCTGGCCCAAGAGCAGCGGATACAGTAAGGGCGGCACATCTTCACTGACCTCAGAGCAGCAGGGAGGAAATGATCCCCAGCTTACTGGTCAACATCATTCTCATAGGCTTTTCTACTTTACACTGAAGTCTACTCAGGCACTTTAAAGAGGAATTGCACTGATATATTTAAAGGCTGTCATCATTCAATCAATAATCATTCAGAGTTGCTTGATGTGAAACGGTGCAGAGTGGAGAAATATATCGAGTCAGAATTGTTCACAGTGGTGGTGACAGAACCAGATATCTGAAGAGTTTAATGCTTCTAAAACTACATCACAAACAATTATTACATGAAATGATGCCTGAGACGATAAGTTTTGGGATAAGGTATCAGCTTAAAGTATATTTTGTAAAATCCATTCATTGCGAGGGGTAAGCGCAGGGTGTGGTAAGGCAATATAATACTTGAAGAAAACTTGTATAATTATGAATAGTACACAAACACTCAGAAGAGACCTGTATGTTCACTAGTCATTTTGGACAGCAAATGCAATAGATATATTTGCTATGTAGACATCATGACCTCTGGTTCCCATCACCACCACTGTAAAAAAAATCAGTCGGTACATTTTCCTACAATTAAACTCGCAACGATGAATTATGCAGAAAGTTTGAAAAATCATCTGAAATTCCCCTTTAAGAATATTCTTTGGCAGAACGCAACAGTTCTTTTGTACTTTATGCATCAGTAATTAATTGCATTTTGTTTATTTCCTGTGCTCATGATATTGTGATAAAAACAAGAAACCATTGTTTCTCACACACATTAAATGAGACAATTTGATTTCTATTTAACATCAGCAAAAAAATACTTTAAAATCTTGTGTCAAAGATACTTAAAGGGCCCATATCTAACATTTTCTTGTGTTTTTCCCTACGATCCAATTGTGATGTTTGCATGTGTTTGTGCAAATGTGTGGCTTTTATGGCATCACAGATGAATGAATTCAAAACAAGCCGCTTTTGCAGCTTTGTTTGCATGTATGGGCTGGATGGACTGGAGAGGGAATGGCATTTTTAACAGTCCTTATCAGTCACCAGAAAGTTTTGTGATTAAAAAAATCATGGTTTCCATGATACAGGCCCTTTAATATATACAACTTAGTTTTGAACAACTGTTCTCTCATCTAGACTGATAAATTAAAGGCTTATGCCATCTAAAAAGGCCAAGAGGGTATGAAAGAGTTTACTAACACTTGGACTGTGTCTTTTGCAGCCAGCAGTACCTCAACAACCAGCTTTACACAAACCGGCCCTCCACCCGCTACTTCACCCAGTTTGGCACGAGTTCTCGCTAGAAGCCTACAGTACGTCTCCATCTTCTCCTCTGCAGCCAGTAAATTCTGGATGATTGAATTTTAAATCAGAGTTTGTGCATTCTTTTAAAATTAAAGAATTACATCTTTAAGAATCGCTTGGAAACTGAACTAGTAAAACAGTCATAATAGTGAAATGATCTTGTATGACCCCATTAAACTTCACACACCATTTTCACGACAACTCTGCAGTAGGTGTAGATTGTTCCATGGAATTTTATTTTTGAAGCATTTACATACAGTGGCTGAGTCATGATTCACATACAGTATCATTGTCCAGTTCAACCCCACTTGTACAAGCCCACCCCTATCAGTCCCTCATTCACTTCCCACTGTACCAGTGCTCCACTCACACCCATAGCACAGATAAACACAATGGATAAGGGACATCATGTACAAATACAAACCCACAAGTGCTTTCATCCACGCATTCCTTTCTTTCTTATCCACTGCATTCTCTTTCTGTTATCCTGGTTTTATTAATCTGATTCAATTCATTTCTGTAGCTTTTGATTCTGTCACAAATAGGGAACACATGACATGAGTCTTCCAGTGTTGTCTAAGCCTGGACAAATCTAAAACCGAACCTACCGTAGCTTAAACCAGTTTAATATTTGACATTATTTGAAAGTACCATAAGTTATTTTAAATTAGAGCAAAACAGTAAAATGTGTAACAGGATGATATATTGAATTGACCTATTCATGCTCTGTCCACAAATACTTTTTTTTGTACCAACTACTGTGAGGTTGGCCTTACAGAACCTTTAGACATTCAAATAGACTAGCAATAGCGATTTCTTGTTTAGACTCAATAGAAAAACTTACAATAAGTACACAACAGAACACAGGCAGTACACGCTACTGAGAGTAAGTGGAGTTGTGCAATGGAGGATGTAACATACTGCTAATGTCATAGTATGTTACATCCTCCTTTGCACAACTCCACTTACTCTCAGTCCCGTGTACTGCCTGTGTTCTGTTTTGTATTTATTATAAGTCTTTCGTATTTATTTATTGTACTGTATTGTCTGCACTGTGTTTATTATATTGTCTTGCACTTGTGTTCCTGTGTTAGTCCTGGAGGAATGTTGTTTCATTTCACTGTGTACTTGTATACAGCTGAAATGACAAGAAAGCCTGACTTGAGTTTCTAGTTTAAAATGCTACCTAACCAATTTGGAAATGTCAGTTTGCTAGCATGTTAACATTAGCTAGATTACACAACCTTTAGCAACACTCCGATTTTATTTATTCATTATTTATTTTGCTAACATTATGTAGGGCTGATTGATACTGAAATATCGATACTTTTGATCTTCACATCTTTTTCAGAAGCCATCACATGAGTACTGATACTAAGTGTTTCTTTGGAAAGTAAACTGAATATTTACCTGTTTATCAAACTAAATGCTTCTGACGCTGGAAAAAGTGGGGAAAAAACAGCAAATAAATGTGTAGAATGGGAACTACTTTTCCTTCCGCTCCTCATATACAATGAATCCTCTATAATAATTATGAAGATCATTATGGAGCTATTTCACTACGCTAAACCCTCTGTTTACGCAGCAGTATATTTGCTACTAAGGTAATCTTTCAAATATAGTTTTTGATGTCCACATTTACTGGACCCCACTGTACACAAAGCCCTTTTTAAGTGCGTGTGAATACATTTAATAGAATCTGTATCAAGGTATTAGCCTGTCTAATCAAAAACAAGATCAGTGGACTCACCCAGCCCGGCTGCAAAAGCTTGGCCAACCTCACAACATATTTGTGGGCGGAGCATGAAAAAGACAATTAGGCTACGATGTAACCTCGCATCCTGATTAAAATCTGCTCTTACTCTCCTCTACGTGACCAGCAAACAGCAGTATAGTGAATATCTGTAAGTTGACTCTACCTCTCTAAGGCCAACGCATGCTCGGACATTAACAGAACACAGATGTCTAGCAGCAGCTCGGTTGAATATTGACATAATTCACATCACTTATTCCTCCTGTATGAAAATAGACTTCTAAGAGAATTTTGTCCTGAGTGTCTGTACAGCATAAACAAGGGAGGCAAACACAAAGCCCATTAAACCCAGCCCTGCCGGCCTCCTGCAACATCACACACTCCTCCCAGCGGGCCGCGGCAGCTCGGAAAGAGCGGTTTCAGTGACTTCGAGTCAGCACATTGCAAATTCTCCCTGCATGTATGTACGTGTGCACTGCACAAACAAGACTAGAGCATCTTCTCACACTGCTTTTGCAAACAGATACACACAATACTGCAACTCTACGCAAACAGGAAACAGCTGGACATTTAGGCTTGTTTCGATTCTCAATTTAAAGGTCAATGTGATGTGTTATTTTCCTTTTTTTAAAAAATCTTTCAGCTTATTTTTTTAAATTCAAAGGACCAAAGAATCAATTTTTTTCTTTTTTGAGGTTTTTGAGAATTATTCACTAGTTATCTAGAACAGTTATATCACAACTAACATTTTCTGCCAAAAGGTCAAAAGTTATTAAAACATCAATGACTGTAAAACCAAGATCGAGACACAGTTCTTTACAAATCAATGCCATAACAAAACAATCGTTTGGGTTTTATTTACATTCAAATAAAAATCAAGAGTTCCCCTCCCACCTCCACCTCCCCCCAGCCTCCTCTCAATTTCTCCACAATAACAGGATTTGCCTCAGATCTTCTTTTAGCGAACGCCGCATAATGTTGTTCTTTTCATTTATTTCCACATAACACTGCTCATCAAAAACTTAGAACAAAGCACACAGCGAAACAGGAACAAATGCTATTTGGTATATTGGCATGGAATCAAAATTCCCACCCCAACAAAGCATACATTCTCCGCGATAAGCACATATATGATTGTGTTTTACATAACGGAACCAACATTGTCAATGTTCACAGTATTGTGCAAAGCTCAGAGAACACCATCTATTTATTTCATTTAACGCCAAAATTATTAAGTACAAGTTTGTTTTTAGCGTTTACTATTTAATAGAAAATTGTACAGAAGCCTCAACAACTAAGTATGATCAGTTTGATAGCTTCACTTTTGTGCACCCTACTACACTTCAGCTCTTCCATCCTCCAATCTTTAAACCCCATGTGTCAAACACAAGGCCTGTGGGCCTGATCAGGCCCACGACACAATCCTATCCGGCCCACAAAGGTATTTTAATTTTCTATTAATAATAGCCTGTTTCACAATGCGCTGCACTACAGTCCCCAGCATGCACTGCAACATAAAGTGCACTCTGACTCTCCTACCACAACAACAATCTATGGGACAGCATTTACACTTTAGTTCTACACAATTCCACATCATATCACTAAACACATTAGCTGCATTTCAACCGGTATAAACCCTTAACATTAGCTCAGCAGCTCGAAAAATTGAGCCCACGTATTAATGAACTTGCACCACAGAAAGGATGCCAGGTGCCTAGTTTAAGGAGATAGGTAGGTTTAGAAGACCGAGCACCTTGGGACATTCAAATTTTGAATATTTCATTTATTCATGTAATATTTTAAGGACTTCAACAAGTTTACTGTTTTAGTTATTGTCTATTTTGAGTAAACAGTGGCCGGTTTGGGTTACAGCACAACATTTATTAAAAATGAAATAAAAACATATTTTTTTCTGGCCCACAGATTTTTTGAGATTTTCTAATATGGCCCTTGTTAAGTTTGACACCCCAGCTTAATTTTCTGTTAAATATGTTCTGTGTTTTTTCCTGTCACTGAAAAACGAATCATTTAAAAAAAAAGTAATGTTTTGACTGATAATTAAATAAATGAAGAGCGTTCTCTGACTTTTACACATCACTGTGTGTGTGTGTGTGTGTGTGTGTGTGTGTACGTGTTTATGTAAGTGTGTGGTGTAGGCTACTCTCTCACAACCCCATCAAACTCAACACCACCTTAGAACCTTTTACACATTGGAAGTGTGTATTCATATGGCTTTACACCAACAGGACTGCAAGAGAGGCTTTATCAGTATACACAGTTTAATACACTACAATAAAGTACAATAAAAGAGACAAACACACACAGACAGCTACAGAAATATGAGAACATTGTACCTGAAGATGATGGTGAGGTGAGAAAGGAGATGAAGGTGATGTTAAGTGGACAGGCACAGGGACCAATGGAGAGCTTTCTAATACTGTAAATGGCTAAATGCTAGATGCGACTATATACAGCTCGATATAAAGCACCTCATCTCAACGTATCATTGCATCTTATATATTTACAGTATGTAGCTTGGCTTAACTCAGTAACAAACCACACATAAGTTATGAGAAACATAAGATAACATGATGTAGAATGACTTAAGTAAAAAAAAAAAATAAAAAACTGAAAATAAAAGCACAATGAAAACACGATGAAATGGAACACACCTATATATAATAAATAGCTATCTATGCAATCCATACGCAGCGTGCGCCGTGCATATGCTTGCATGATGCACTGATCAGGATTTTTAAGGCCCTCAATTCTCCCTGCTCTTCTCCTTCTTTGCTGCCCACTCTCTTCTATATTTGGCATTAACCATGGGGTGTCTGCATGTCTGTTTATATCGTGTTTAAATTGTCACGATTTTAAGTCATTTGCACTCAAAAACTGAAAAAAGGAATGCACTGAATTTACTTGACATGTATACTATATCTGCAGGAATTAAATACGTCAATTGTTCATTACATCAACAATTATTGCAAAAGTATGTTAAGTAAAAGACAAAATAGGATTGATATAATATTCACTTCACAAGCCGTATTTTGTCTTGAAAACACCAGGTGCCTCTTAAATTCTGTGAAAGTTTCATGATGAATGGGCCAATCGAAACGGTCCAAAATGATTTGGAATAAAATCTTACATTGAAACTTTTTTTTTACATTAAGAGTGTTCGTAACACTTTATTTGGAGCTGTCCTTTGTAGATGATTAATAAACTCTTAACAGATTATCAGTAACACATCAACAACATATCAGTGAAGTAGCAGTAGTGCAGCATCTAAATACACTGAAGTAAATATCTTGTAGATGTTCTGTTGATAACTTTACTTACATTAAGTAGATGTATAGTTAATATGTTACTTCCATTACGCAAAACCTGATCTTACCCAGTATTACCCAAAACCTAAACCTAACCTTAACCTCAACCTCAACCCAAAACCTAAACCTAACCCTGGCCCTAATCCTAACCCTAACCTTATCCTCAACCCAAAACGTGACCCTCATATGTTTTTGACGTTACTGAGAGTCTGTTGAGTGACTGTTTCATCTAAAAGGACCACTCAAAATAAAGTGTCGCCAGAGTGTCTGTTCTTTCTCCTGAAAAGTTACCATTTTGGAGATTTTCGGAGATTCTCTCAATGGCAGTGATATTTTATTCACGTGAAACTGATGTACACATCTAAATCAGTAAATTCATTGCACTATTTTTCAGTCTTCTGTAAGTACGTTTTACAGGCGGGAAACCTGGGATGCCGTTTGCTGTCACGTTTGTATAGATACTGTATAAGCTACTATGAAAGGATGTATTGCAAAATTATCTGTAAACAGTTTACTCGGCAGTCCCTACACAGATGGACGTCAGCCTACACTAAAAAAGGTGATGCACTGACTTTACCTGATTAAAATGTGAATGTACAGAAATTTCCACATGAATACAATATATTACATCAACAAAGTGTTATATTTAAGCCTGTCACAATTACACACTTGTCTGATTATGATATTGTTTTATCCATTGTTTTGTAGTGCTTTGGGTTTAAGACAAGTACATTAAAATTGGAATTTTATTATTATATTATTATTATATTGGAATCATTTAATATATTGGAATGCAGTCATTCATGACTGCAGTTATTTTCAGCAGTTATTAGCTTTCACAATCATATGTTTATATCACAGCAAACAGAATGCGAAATGGGTGCGTTTTTAGTTGGGATGAGGGAAATACAGGTAAATAAAAGAAAGCAGAAAACAAGTCATAAAAGAAACATAGGTTCTAATTTCTGACTGGTGCTGTAACACCTTCAGAGTTTCTGTCTTCAGATGGGAGCTACTAAGTATTGACAGCTAGCAAGCAAAATAGCTAATCAGCCAGTCTTGTATTTTAGTAGTTGCATAAAATGAACAAAAATATAATAAGTAAATTGTTATTTGCAATTATTTATGGCAATTAATCATCAGCTAAAATGTCATTATAATGACAGGTCTAGTTATATTGTCTGTTGACTTGCTTCAGCCAGTTAATTGTGTTGATGTGACATATTGTATTCATGTGAAAATGATGTGAACATTTAAATCAAGTCAATTCACTGCATCACTTCAGTCAATCTAGTCTAGTGTAGTAATTCCCTCCAGCTGTGCTCGAAGTGCACTGGTTGGTCCGATTATGTCTAAGGTCAGTCCCAGCAGTGTATGTGGTGTTTCATTACTTGGCATCAGGTTTCAGTGTTTGTTTTTACGGTGTTCTGCGCATATTGATTGTTTGGTCAGTCACTTAGATATGAGTTAGTGGGCACGTATGTGAATCTGGTTCTGATTTGAGGCCTGACCTGCCCTGCTAGTCTAGGATAGCGGCGGAGTTGGGCAGGCCGTGGTTGGTGGGGCCGATGGAGGCAGGGTTAAGGAGGGAGCTGTCCTGGGGGTCCGCCTCGGGCTCTTCTCTAACTCCGCTGTACTGACTGGCCAGAGAGTCATCCATGATCACCTCCGTCTGGACGCTGTTGCTGTTGCCATAGTCCAGAGCGCCGTCGCTACACAGCTTACTGTCCTCACACAGAGACGGCTGACTGGCCGTCCGCTTCTCCTCATTATCACTTTTCAGGGAGAGAGCGAGAGAGAGAGACAGAGACAGAGACAGAGAGAGACAGAAACAGAGAGAGAAAAAGAAAAAAGAGAGAAAAGATTAAGAGACAGGAAGAAAGAGAGGGAGAGAGGAAGAAAAAAGAAAGACAATAGAGAGCAAGAAAGAAGGAAAGAGAAAACAAAAGTGGAAGAGCAAGAAAGAAAGAAGAATAAGGAAGAGAGGAAGAAAGAGAGCAAAAGAAAAAAGCGAGAGAAAAAAAGAGAGAAAGAGAAAGACAGAGAGAGAGAGAGAAAGACAGAGGAAGAGCAAGAGCCAAAAAGAGAGCAAAAGAAAAAAGAGAGAAAGACGGAGAGAGAGAGAGAGAGAGAGACAGAGATAGAGAGGGAGAGAGAGAGAGAGAGACAGAGATAGAGAGAGAGAGAGAGAGAGAGAGAGAGAGAAAGGGGAACAGTATTTATAGTGTCCTGAGGCTGAGAGGTAATGAGCAGGATGAGGGCAGAGGGATGGATGGCTCAGGAAGGCAGTGATCTGGATGCCGGTGAGGAAGCAGGTGCATGCATTTAAAAAAAACACGCTACAAATCATACCTCTCTAGAGATCTGTTAGCATGAGGGAAAAATATCAGGGAAGAGAGAGGGAGAGCGTGAGGAAGAGGGAGAATACAGCAGAAATTCTTTTCTGTCCTTGAGCACAGATCTGTATCTTATCACACCACATACCTGTACTCCCCAAACGTCTCATCCTTCATCGGCCGAGCCTCTGAGTCCACATGACCCTCCTCTTTGTCTTTAACTGAGACAGAGAGCAGAAACAAGCACACATTTACAGAGTCAGATGACATGCTAATGAGCAGCTACGTCTCTAACAGACCACATATGTGTATGAGTGGTTGAACTGCAAGAAATGGGGGTCTGGGGGTGTCACCTTTTTTATATATATAAGGTTGTAGAACAGCCTAATTAATGAGACATAGTCTAATAAAAGGGCAATGTCACCACTGTTTTAAAAATTGCTACATAACTCCATAGTTAAGATGTAAACATTCATTCAGAGTGATATTTGTTTGCAATGGTAATGATAGTAACCAGGTGTTGAAAGCATTTAATGCCTCTATATAAGCTACCTTACAGAAACTTCTACTTATGAAATTCTTATGAACACACTACTCGACGTGTATTAGAATAATACATTACTTGTTTGTTTTGTTATAGTCTTTAGATGGGACTTTGGCCTAAAAGTTTATTTTTAAAGAATGCAGGGGGTTATAAGGCAAAATAGTTCTCAGAGAAAGGAAAGTGTTCATAACTGAAAAATGTCTGAATAAAAAAAGAGCAAATTTATACTAGTGTTAACTCATCCCCCTTCAAACTGAGCTCGGTCATACCTGAGTACTTGCCACCCTTGCTCCGCTTGATAAAGCAGAGAATGAGCAATATGAGAAGCAACAGCACGAGGGCGCTGATGAGCCCGATGAACCAGCCTTCGGTAGCAAAACCACTCCGTACCTCCATTGGTTCTGCAGACAGAGAAGAATGGAAACAGACTTAGACCATCAGCATTAAAACATTAAAAACAAAAAAAACTCTCGTAAATACTACCAGAGATGAGAAAAGTTGTTTTATGAATCTTCAGTACTTACCTGCCCCTGCAGTCAGTATTTCAGTCTCCCAGAAGGTGCCATTGCTGGAGACAAGGTGCAGGCGGTATGGGGAGCCAGGCTGGAGGCCCTGCAGGGAGTAGAATGACTGAGTGGAGTTCACTTTCTCCGACTGCTTCCAGCTCCCTCGATCTGAATAACAAAAACATGAACACAACAATACAAATGAAAACACATCACCTCAGGAAACAGCCACCACAGTGACACATAAGCACTAAAGCACTAAAGTACTAAATGGACAGGATTAGTTTTACATATGTAGCTGCTGTAATGTAATTATTTGCAGTGTATCTCTGTGATTTTAGTCCCTTCAGAATAAGTTTCTGGGTCTTTACAGACTGAGGTTTTAAGAGTTTTTACCTATTATAAAACGAATGGCAGAAATATGCCCAGTTTAATAACTCCTTTAAAATTCTCTCTAGCTGAGGTGAAGAACACAGCAATATGAGTCAACAGACATTATAAGCAGTCAGCTGACTGTAAAACTACATGTTTTGTTGATTTTGAAAATAAAGTAAGAAAACATCACATCCTATATAGGGGAACAAACTCAAATATGGTATTCTGGTGACAATTTTAGTGCACAATTATTATTTTTTTGCTGAGCTTCACATGTTGGAAAAGGTGCCATAACTTTTGCATAGGCTACAGTTTTATTTGATTTTTTTCCCCAATGTGTTAAATTCAGCCCTGTGATGGACTGGCGACCTGTCCAGGGTGTATCCTGCCTGACTGCTGGGATAGGCTCCAGCTCCCCCCGCGACCCAGAAGGATGAGCGGCTTAGAAGATGTGTGTGTGTGTGTTAAATTCAGCAAATAACTGTAATTGTACATTAAAATGTGCAGAAGTGTGTTCTCTGAGGGGATACGTTAACTTATTTATAACATTTATATAACAAAACATGTAATGTAAACGTACATATTACACAAATCACACTAATCTTATAGCCCATGCAAATGAGTCATAAATATTAACATTACTTCACAGACACATAACCAGAAAACCTCATCCTATTCGATCAGAATAGATGTCAATAATATAATTATCCATTAGGACACTGTGACCTACAGCTGACTGGTCTATGATGTGGCTGTTCCAGTAAGAAGTCATTCAATATGAATGAGAAGAACCCAACAACACCTCCATTAACTTTCTGAACAGAGCACTTACCGTTCTTCTTTTGGTAATTAATGTGGAAGCCCACATTCCTCTGTCTCTCGTGAGAAACCCAGGTTAGGTTGACTGAAGTCTCTCCAACAGACAAAGTGATGTTGCCAGGTGGAGCTATTCACACAAAAAACGAAGAACCCATTATTTTGATGATTACACTGCAACAAATGATGTCACTGAAGGTAAAAACATCAGAAATATAGCAATTATTTTTAAAGATTGTTGCAGAGGATGAATACTTTAACTTAGAAACACAACAAAATATAATTTGACCAGCGGTGCCCAAACGTTTGCTTAAGACTGCATTTAAATAAATTTACAGCACTTTCAAAAAGTGGCGGGAATAAAATCTGTCATTTAAGAAAGAGGTGGGGACATGTACCCAGCAACCCCAGCAAAAATTACACCTATGGTTGAATTCTTGCAGTATGTTTTATACTGCCCAATGAAGAGACACCAATCGCTTCCTTTACTTTTTGAAAACGAGAGAAAAAAAACAAAAAAACACAACAGGATTCAAATACAGATGGGCAACAAAGAGAAACCAGTACTCTAAGTGTGGCACATGAACACTGTACCTCCATCCAGCGTTGTGGCTCCCTCTTTAGTGATGGGCAAGCCGTTTCCAGCTGCAGTGCGCCCCCGCAGGTAGAAACGGTAACGACTGCGAGGGTCGAGCTCTTTAAGGCTCAGCTGAGACACTTTAGGGTCATCAATACTCTCCCTTTGCATGGGCCTATTCTCAGTATCAACTGCAGAGAGAGGAACAGTGATGAATGAAAGAAAAAAAGAAAAAAGAAAGAGACGGAGAGGAAGAGAGTGAGTAAGAGGGAAGAGTTAGAGGGGGAGAGGGATAGAGAGAGAAAGAGAGAGAAAAGAGAAAAAAGAGGGGAGGGAGAGAAAGAAAGAGAAATAAAAAGACACAGGGACACAAAGAGGAAGGCAGAGAAGAAGAGAAAGAGGCAGATCAATCACTGATTACTGGGACAGATTTCTGTTAGTATACAATGAATGGACTAATGCACTGATTACTACTAGAAAGCTGTGGTATCCAACAGGATGTTTTTTTATGTTGAAGCGCTAAAGGGTTAGCGATACAGTTAATACTGTAGCAGCCACTTACTTAATCAGATAAAGTGCACAGCAGCACGACTGTATGTCTGAAGAGCATTACTGTAACAGGTGTAAGTGCGTAGACGTACGCTGATGGTACTCCAGTAAGTATCCAGTGAGTATTCCGTTGGGTTGAGCAGGCGGAGTCCAGCGCAGAGTCATCTCCTTCTCTGAGGGGCTGATCAGCTCCAGAGAGGTGGGAGGACCAGGAACTGTTTGGAAAAGAGAAAAAACAATGTAGACCGTGGCCCCAGGAGCTCACCTGAACACTGTTCATGAAGCTCATTACTACGTGTACTATAGCAAGAAAAAAATGTGTATGAGGTCCCTATCTGATGTATTAAAACCAATCATTTTACATGAGCATTGTGCTGATATTGTAACATTCTTGCTCTGTTTGTGTCTGTGTCTGCTTTTGTTTACCTTGCTTCATGTGTCTAGTCATGTGCTTCTGTTTTCCTGCACCTCCCTGGCTCTGCCATCTTTTTTACACTCCTCACCTGTGTGGTAGCTGTAACAGCTGAGACCTGCCTTGTAATCAATGGTCTCAGCTGTTTATTGTTCTGTTTAGTGTATTTCAACCCCCTGGTCTCCCTTGTCTTTGTTATGCATTGTGTGTGATTGTTTCGTGTACTTCCTGGCTGATTTCTTGACATTGTTGTTCCTTTTGTTTAGTTTTTTGGAGTAAAATGTCTTGGTTTGTTTTCTCAGTTTAATCAGTCACTAATTTTCTGTCTCTCATTTGGTTTCATTTCTTGCTCTCTTGTTTAGACATCTCTGATAAGTTGGTCACCTCTAGCCTGGACGCTAATAAAGGAAACTCACACTTGCATCCTGCCTCCAAGCCTCCATGGTTACAGATATATGTAAATATTTCTGTCCTGATTGCCTGCCTTGTATGTTCATTCTCATTCTAAACTCAATGATTTTAAAATTAATCAGTGCTGAAATATATGGAACAAACTTATGTCTGGTCTTCAGGAATGGCAGAAAAAATAAACTTCAGCCACAGCATTGAACTGTTTTCGCCATGAAAAAACTGTTACTGCTACAGACTCTGCAGTAACAACACTATATATAATTTCAATGTGAATGGACAGCTAAATTGCTGTAGGCTGAATGGGTGCTCATATGTCCATTGTTGTGACATCACAACCCAGATGAACTGAAAACCCTTTTTTTATTATATACTCTAAAGCATAGCATGAGATGAAATTTCACTGAATTCCCTCGGACTTACCCCCCTCGGGCGTCTGGAAGGTGCGGCCCTCTGACTGGGGTCCGTCTCCTTTGTTGTTGAAGACACTGACAGAGATAGAGTAACAGGAGTATGGCTGCAGACCTCCCAGATCCTTCTTCTCCTCATTAGCCCCTGTCGTCACGACAACCTCACTCACTGGCTGAGCACCCTCCTGCCAGTGGTGGTGTTTGCCACAGGTGCCGAAGTTCTGCAGGTGGATCTTACAGGATAAAGGTGAAAAAAATTCATCTCACTTTCATGGTCATCCAGAGCAAACATGCTGAGAGGATACATTTAATTTTCCATTCCATCAGTGTGGAGGAAAATGGCAGCTTGAAAAACACTTGAAAGCTTTTATCTTTTAAAACTGAAAGTTCAAAAAATTAAATCTGCCTCGGCTTCAGAGTGTTGAGAAGCTTAAACACATTTTCCCGAAGGAAAGATTAAAGACCCGTAGATGTGCATCTTGCTGAGTTTTTAAGACCCTGGAGATCAGAGTGCTTGTACTAAACTTTTATGCCTGGGTTTTAGCGAGAGCCTTACTGACTCAGAAGTCAATGCTGTTTTCAAGAGGGAAGGTAAAGGCCTCAGTACCTTGTAGCCCATTAGATGCCCTTTCACAGTCTCCCTGTCTACCGGGGCCCAGTTTACCCTGATGTCTGTGCTGTTTACCAGAATCACCCCCACATTCAGTGGAGAATCCTCCGGATCTGGAGAAAACACAAACACAGGATGCAATCATGTTTAGATTGGCCTTCAGATGATCTGAAGCACAAGTAATCAGAAGAGGTTAGACAGAATCAGAGCAGCTATTCATGGTTAGGCCAAAAATCAGATTTATTCCAATTGTACTCTATTAGCCAAGACATGTTGGTTGTCTGAAGGCTGCTTCTTTAGTTTTGAGCACTTCTTTAGTTTTAGCACTTCTGCAAGTTTTCCTTATAGCTCTGGATGCACATTATCAGAATCGTATCAGTATCAGTAGATATAAGCTTTAAAAATAAATATATATAATGCCATGGGACAGATGTTTAGATTTGACTGATATTTTAACCCAATATTTGATGATATATTAATTGTACTCTGGAAGAGCAGAATGATCTTCATAAATAAATTTCTTCTTGGAGCCACATGGCTAAACTGGCTGCGGATTTAATGGCAGCAGCGCAGTACCTTGTAGTCCATTAGATGTAAAATTTCAAAAACAAAACAGGTGGAAACGGATTTTTCAGTAAATCTGATATTTGTCCAAACCATTGCTTTAAGCTTTACAGACAAACTGGATGCAGATGACAACTGGAGTGCAATTATATATGGCAGACATAATTATACATGGCCTAGGCAAAAGCATTTTTTGAAATCCTGAACTTGGCAACAACTAGACAGACAAAAAACGACAAACAGGGCAAAGCCTGAATATATAACAAAAGGCCAGACTCACAGTCCTCTCCGGAGTAGCCGATGGTGGATTTGGGGTCTGGTCCCTCTCCCAGATCATTAACAGCCTGAACTTTGATGTCAAAAGCAGTGAAATCACCCACGTCAGCGACGACGAAGGGTGGCGAGGAGGTAAGGTTGGAATTCCAAGATGGCCCACTGCCTAAAACCTTTCTCCACATCACCTTATAGTGGAAACCTGGCCCGTTGAAACTCCTCCTGTCCATGTCCTGCAAAAATATATAGCAAAGAGCTTGAAGTGATGGTTCTGGTCCAAAATTGATTTAGATCAAAAATGGACAAAAGTATGGAGAAAATTGAGACTTTACACTTGGCTGTTGCTACAGTTCTCAGCTCTGTGACACTTTCATAGATAATATTATGTCATACAGTGTCAGAGACCACATCAGAAAGTCTGAGATTACTTACCAACTTGTGTAATGATTTAGGCACGCAGTTTGCAATATGCTAAAATAGTGGCAATAATATCATTTGTTAGCTGCACTACCCACGTACCTGAATGCAAAACTAAAGAGGCAAACATCAGACACAAACATGTTTTCATGACAACAAAAATGTTTTGGGTGATTTGCAGTAAGAGGAAAATTGTGTGCATTTGTTTTTTTTTTTTGGCCAAACTATCATTTTCAAACAACTGATTTGGGTGAGCACTTGTAGAGCTTGTATTTTTATATGGCCTAAGCTCATAGTAACATGTAGGGATAAATGATTAAAACGTTGCTGTGCGAGCTGAGCATTGAGCCGTTTGTAACACTTACGTTCCATGTGATGACAAGAGTGCCCGGGTCTACGGACTCGCTGCGCACTCCTTCAGGGTTACTGTCTGGCCCTGCGGAGGACACAGCAACCTCAGCACCGGAATGCTCTCACATGGCAATAAAAGCCTGTCACTTCACATCAGCATTACAGCAAAGCAGAGCAAAAAGGAGCCTTCCCCAAAGTGTGCCACTAAGAGTCCAGAGGAAACTTTGCGGTACAGAAATGCTCACTCAGTAGCTCTGTAAGCATCTTAATGCTTAACAAAGTTAACCCCTCAAACTCCAAGGACACAAATGGGGTTCAGATGTTCATTACTCATTCACATAACTGCATGTCTTGCACAGTAGTTACAAAATAATAGGGATTTTCCATCAATGTTTTACATTTTTTGCAGAAATTAATCATTAAGATGTAAACAAGGTCTTTCAAAGTAGTTTAGTGTGGAATGCACCATTCTAGAGAAACTTACCAAGGTTATTTTTTCACTGTTAGAAACTGGAACCAGACAACCGGAGCAATTAATGCTTCTAAAAGCTGTCTGATGCCTGAAATTGTTTTCACGGTAGTTTTACGATAACATTTTGGCCTAAAAACATTTTTTTTTACAATCAGTTCATGTTTGAGAGGCACATGCACAGTGTTATTAGACAAAAAGGTAGAAATCTTACTTTTCAGATCTACAACTATTGATCAACATTACATATAAAAACATAAAAAGACACATGTAGGTTCACTGGTCACTTTGGATAGCAAATAAAATGACTAAATTTGCACTTTAGGCATTGTGACTACTGATTCCTATCACCACCACTGTAAAGAAATCGGTATGTTTTCAACTCAGAATACTCAATGTTTACATCTCAAAGATTAAATTTTGAAAAATTGGTGGAATTCTCCTTTATTAACAGTTCACAGGTCACAGTTAGTGCTGGTGATAAATTTGATAATCATTTCTCAATTATATTTGAAACAAATGGAGAAATTCTGTCACAAGTTCTGATTCAAATCTTCCAACCCATACCACATTTATCTTTGTGAGCAGAAGACGAGACATTATTATGATTTAAATTTGATAAGCAGTTAATATTGTGCATGTAGTCTTGTTTTATGGGAAGAAAAAACACACATTCACACATACATCTTCATCACAATTTTGTCATCACTTGACATCGAAACAAACAGAAAAGTGAAGATTTAAGTTTTTGATATGAAATGTAAATGTAATTCATGGCATAGCTCACTATAAATAAAAGGCATAGTAGTATGAATTAAGGGGCTTATGGCTGGTTTAAGATAAAGGATTACAGTCTTACGAGATGCAGGTGTGGAATAGCTTCTGGAGGGCTGGCCGGGGTCACTCTTGCCAATGCTGTTGATGGCGATGACCCGGAATCGGTAGGAGAGGAAGGGTCTCAGTGGGACAGTAGTGAGTCGAGTGTTTCCAGAAACACGAGCAAGCTCCTCCCAGCCTTCCCTGTCAGTCTCCTCAAACTCCACCACATACTCTACACACAAACACAAAAACATGCATGAACCTCAGAAACTATTTTAGAAAGCAAGATTTTCTCATGTAAGTTAAGCCAAAAGTCAGTCCTTTCCAATAGGAGAAGAGGTAAGCAACATTTATGCTATCCTATTACTACTCTGAGAAATCCTTTTTGTCCCTAAAATATCCCCTCTGAGCAGTTAGCAAGAGAGACATAAGCAAACATTACAGACATGTGCTTATTATATTACATTCTGCACCTCTTTTACACTGTTTACACTGTATATCTGCACCTCATGAAGAATGCTGCTGTTGTGTGTTGCACCATGTGGCATGAAGAACATTATGTTCCACTATATACAAGTTATATTGAGGAATAACAATAAAGACCACTTGACTTAACATGACTTGTATGTTACAGATGCAGCTGACAGTTTTTTTCAGGCTTAAAAAGAGTTTTCCTTTAAGTACAGGCTAGCCTCACACCATACAGCTCTTAGCAAACTAATGCTAATTCAAGCTACACAGATTAACCCTATAAAACTGAGCATGTCGCCAGTGACCCATTCTGAGAATTTGCTGATCGCCCATTGAACTTCACATCTGACACTGGAGGAGTTACATTATGTGCATGTCTGCGCTGTGCATAGTAAAATGTACCACCATGTAGAATTGGAGCTGTTTGTGTGCTGTCTGTGTTTTCTATCACAGTATAAAGGAGGCACAAGGCTGCCTTTATTGCTGGATTACTGTGTTTTATTTTCATTTATTATTTTGTTTAATCAGAGTAATGATAAAATGGATTTGATGTGAGAATTACATTCTGATTCTCGTGTTTACTTCATACTAAATAAAAACCTACACATGTTCAGCTTTGTTAGATAATACATTTTATATATCAAACGCATGCAACAGTAGTGGTGAGAAAACATGATTAATGAAGAACAGGAGACTAAATGAAAGAAATAGCATCAAAATTATTGGCCATGGTAATCAACTGTATGCAACAGATGCAGCAGACAGAAATTAGGTTGAAAATTGCTGGACAGGCTAGCCTTTGACCTTACAATCCACACAGATGAATAATTAAAGGGCCCATACATCACAAAAAACAGAAAATCAAAAATTCTGACATTTTTATAGTAAAAGAGTTTTATATGGTATGTCAACATAATTAAAGTTCTAAGATGTACTTTTCACTCTCCAATCCATACAGGCTATAAGTGGAAACTAAGCTGCAAAAACAGCCTATTTAGACTTCAATGATTCTGTGATGTCACAGAAACAAATACATTTACATATATTATATATACAGCTTACAGCACTTACTCACTTAGCTCCGCCTATTCCCTTTTGTGTCATAAACTGCTTTTTGAATGAGGCAGCCGAACAAAAAGTGCATCATATGTAGTCAGTGTGCTCACCTAATACAGGGCTTTTGTGGTCATCGCCAGGTGTCCAGGAGAGTGAGATCGAACGTTCTCTTGGCTCAGTGAGCTGTAGCTGGGTTGGTGCATCTGGCCGATCTGAGAAACGCACACAGAGGGGAATTTATAGTTCACGTGCACACAGACACATCTTTAAAGGTTATTTCTGTTAGTTGGGCAGGAAATAGTGTGCCTTTACTCATAGGTCAAAATTATAATAAACACATGCACATCATATTATCTGTAAAAGGCCCGTCATGTATGCAGTCTTCCGACTGCGTGGTGCAACACTGAACATCGTCGCAGTTCAATAGATTTTAAATGCCATACCAACTACAGTGATGGAGCCACTAGCTTTGGCCACGTCCAGACTCGTCATGACCTCACAGGTATAAACGCCCTCGTCCTCCTCCTGAACGTTATTCACAATGAGCTCTGAGCCATCAATCACGTACCTGAAACACAAGCAATGATAATGATGTACCAGGGGTGTAAAAGAAGTGTACATTTCTGACCTCACAAGGATTTGATAGTGATTCATATTACATGATTTAGCTCAGCTGAATCAGGTTATTTTGGTGAAAGCAATACACCAACATACAAATACAAAAGTGTTTTATTTATGTTGGATTATAAAAATAAATATTATTATTATTATTATTATTATTACACCTTTCATACAAAGAAGCAGCTCAAAGTGATTTACAAAAGAAAAACAATACAATTATTTTACAATATAATTATAATAGTCATTAAAAAATATAAAAAATAAGAGAAGAAGAATTCACAAAGCTCATAAAAGCAATTAAAATATAAGGAATAAAAAAGTACACTGATTAAATAATCAAAATAAAATAAAATATTGCAAAAAGCAAGAATGTTTATAAGCGCAATTAAAACATGAGAAAAAAAAACAACACAGTTATTTAAAAGCTAGGGCAAATATTGACATTTCAAACTGTTTTTAAAAATAACCCAAGATATTTACTTCGGCCAGAAAACGAGCACTTACTTTATTAAATATTAATATAATCCACTGTAATCAATTACAACAATCGAAACTTGATACAGCTGAATTACCATCTTCAGATCAGATGCAATGCATTTTTGTACCCAACAAGTAGCACCAATAATCTCAATGGAGCAAAGACTCTAAATTAAGAGTGCACCAATACAGGAACTGTTGGCAGATGCTGATATCCAACATCTTTTACATACATATCGTTTGTATGTAAAGTATGATAAATGTAGTAAAATAAACAAAATGCAGATAACTTAGCACAGAAGACCAGCATCGGCTAAAAGTTGTGCTCTTCTGGGGTAAAACAAATACATCACCAAACAATGGCATGAAATATCAAATCTAAACATTTGTCTGTTGCTTATTTTTTTTTATTTAAGTAAATTCTGATATCATTGTGCATCCATACTCAACAGTGAATTAGAATATAACACATTCCTCTACCTGATCCAAAAAGTTAGGGTGCATTCAGACAGACGTTACCGTTCCACAATATAAACTCCAACAGCTTGGGGGGGGGGTCAGGCATTATTTTTATTTATATGGGATCTCACCTGCAGGGCTCCGTAGACGAACACCCAGATCCCTCACTAAAACTGGAAAGTGCTACATCATGCAATTTCTTTCACCAGGAACCTTCAAGTGAGACTGGTGGACCACCCCCTCAAACACCTTACTTTCACACTGGGAAACTGTGACCTAGCCAGCCAACCTCTAACCTTCCCTAGACAGTTTGCTTTGTGTGAAAAGCTGGTGTTCTAAGCACTTACTTGTCTCCATCAGAGAACTCGTTCAACTTCTTCTTGCTTCTCCTCCACAGGATCTGAGGCATGCCCAGATTGCTATCTACCTGGTACTGGCAAGTAAAGGTGGCCGACTTCCCCTTCTGGACGTGCAGGTCACGGGGCGGGTCCACAATCACTGTCCTGTCTGATAGACGTTGGTTGAATAGGTGTTACCCAACATATCCAGACTGTTCACATGAGCAGTCACTGTAACAACAGCTATCACAATCATTTAAAGCAGTCTGCACTGGTTTAATAACTAATAAATTAATGTCTTTCTCCTGACTCCAGTGCAGTGCACTCAGGATCAAATAATAAGATAAAGGGAATAAAATTAGATTTTACATAATGAACAGAATGGCAATAAAATGATCAGCGCTGAATTGATTTAAACAATAAAGAGATTCATTTGAGTTCAAGTAAGCACACACTGCATAGAGACGCACACAATGTTTGTTATTTTTCACAGTACTGGCCTTTGACATACTGATCTTGGAGAAGGCAGCAATAAGTAAATGAGCTCCCTAACTTATCACATTACTGTGTGCTGTGTGCATCCTGATTAATCAGAGTTCCAGATGAATGTTTTTGTAGGTGCTGTGATAAATCAAGGTATTAATGTAACCCAACAATAGTACAATATTTTAGTCAAAATAACATTGGCTAGTCTTTCATCACGGTTTTTCAGTTCATCAGTGCATTTTAATATGTTTCAAGGCATACTGCAATGCAATGTATGATATGTAGCAATATAATCACAATGCAAAAATGTATCTTAGAACATGCAGCTCTAACAGACATGTGTCTGTGTACTGAAAAGAGAGAGTCTGAGCATGTGTTTATATTGGTTACTCACTGAGCACTTCCAGCTCAGCAGAGATGGTGATTTTGGCTTCATCTACTGAGCAGGTGTACAGGCCTGTGTCGTTGTGGGACGTATCGCTGATCTCCAACGTGCCATTGCTCAGCACAGTCATCCTGGGGTTAGTCAACACTGAGTCCCAAGACTCGCCCTCCCTGAAAATATGATATATTTGTGAGATATATGATGCAAGAGAATCTATTGAGTTCTTAACTCTCAATGCATTAATGTACATTCTTTTTGTCCATAGGTTCTGAGTTTGTCTGAGCACAATTCTAAAGAAATATTTTAAATCAATCAATCCATATGCCTGAAAGTGAGTTTTTAATCAGTAATTTATCAAAGAAAATTTGGTCACATGTGACTACTGAGTTTTAACAAAACAGAAACTGTTAGATTTTATCCAAGCTACACAACAGTTAATCATTTTTTACTTTTCAGATTAAATTTAGTTGGACATAAATAGCTCAACCATGCTTATTATTACAGTAGCCACCAATTAGCATGATTTTCATAATGATACCTAATAGCTATTTGCTTTAATTCATTATTAACATTAGTATTACTGATTGACTCTTCATTTGCTATCTTCCCAATGGCCTCCACTCTTTCTAAACCCACCAGCTCTCGCTATTATCATGGCCAAGCTGGAGGAATATAAGCTTGAGTTTCTCTCACCATGTGACCTTGGGCCGGGGGGAACCAAATGTCTTGCACAGTAGCTCAGCAGTCTGTCCCTCTGTTACTCTGTACATTAAACTGTCCTCCGTCAGGATCTGTGGAGGAAGCTCTGAAACACAAACACATCCCCTCTCAGACATCACTGCTTACTTGCATTCCACAGCAGCCACTTAGCACTCTCAAGAGTGAAATTTTACAGTTTAAAGACTAAGAAATCCCTCCCTCTTAAAGATGCATATTGAAGGTGGGAGGTACTTTTGGAAAACTACAACTGCATCTACAGCTTATTTTAGCTAGTAAATGTAGCCAGATGTAGCTAATGTTAGTGCTAATGACAGAAGTAACTAGTCAGATGAGGAGGACAACAAGCTAAAAGCTAAAATTAGCAAAGTAGCTTGCTATATAGATACTTTATCTCAGTTCGGCTTCTTTTCTGTAACTGAAAGGGTCTCTGGTGTCCATTTTATGCTAAATAAAGATAGAACCACTTTTTTGTAGCCTACAATTCGGTTTGATGACTGAGGTCACACTAATGCTACCTGTGTTGTTTTTATTACCTAGCCTACAGATTTGTGATTAGCCTAGCACTCAGGCTTTGTTGACACCACAGAAATTCTACAAAAGCTTCCTTATGCATTTGAATAATGCATGTTGGATATTGTAGGGAGACAACTGATGTACAAAACCATGACGACAATATAAAATTGTGAATTCTGTCTGAATAAGGGATGTAATTCTGCATTACAAAATAGAGCAATAACACAGCAAATAACATATTAGGCCTGATGCTCTTTTCATTTTTGTTTTTACTTCTCCTGTAAAGTTACAGTATCACAGACATGAAGTTTTCTTCTGACAGTGACTTTTTTCTTCATTCATCATTACCATGAACACAGCAAATATATACATAATCCAGGCTCAGACTGTATATATAACTACATAACTCTTACCAATGACAAAGACGTAGGTGTTGACAAGGATGGTGCCGTGTACATTGGAGGCTTTGCACTGATACACTGCAGTGTCACTGATCTCCACGTCTTTCAGTATAAGGGTGCCTCCCGTCACAGTACGCCTGCTATCTGGGTCTATATCTACACAAAGGGTGTACAGTTAGAACCAAATTTATACAGTTTTCACCTTACCTTTAACACAGTCGATCAGCCAAGGCATGTTTGGTGTCTGAAGTTCACTTGAAGCTACAAGACTAATGTAATTAGCTACTGTAACTCACTTACAGCCACCAGTTTATCGTTCTAAAACTGCATGTTTAAATCATCTAACACCTGCTTCAAACCGTGCCAAACTCTTATGTAATCTAAAACAGAATTGGTTGTGTTGTTGAAGACACTGTAGTTATCTATAAAAATGCACAAAATGCATTGCATAGTTAAAATTGCACAGCTGAAACAGTAGTAGATGCTGCATTATGTATGGACGCATTTTGATTGGCGCATTAAGTTTTGGGCACATAAGTAAAGATTAGATGGTTTTGTCAGTTGTGCTTTCTAATATTTCTAATATAATATTGGCACATTTAGATCCTATTAGGAAACCATTAGATGCAACAGGATTCACTCCCAGAACACTTAGGCAACCATTAGGTTCCTTTACACTGCGATATCAAGCCATCAGGAAAACACAAAACACCGTTAGTGACTATTCGACACCACGAGAAACGAACAGAAACTTTTAAAGATTTCTATGATTTCTTTTCAGCAGGGACCTTCATTCATTATGAAAGAAGCAAACTTCAGCCACTAAATGTCTTAGCCAAGGAACTACATTTGGGGTGAGCAGAAATTTGATTTCTTAAACATCACTTTAACTAACTCATCCACTTTCTGCACATTCTGGAGCTCATGCAAAAGTGTGCAAGGTAGAAATGAAAAAGAATTATAGAGAAATAATATACATACAGTGGTCACAACATGTACTTGAATACTAACCATTTAACCATTGTTAAACTTTCATGAAGACATTTAGGTTACTTCATAAAATGTTCAACAAATTATATTTGTTTCAGGGAGAAACATGTTTATCATGAAACTGACTGTGTAGAGAAATCTTGAAGAGGAATTATAATCAGACTCAATAAAATTACTGTAAAGCACAGAGGTGGAAACGCCAAAGTCTGAGGCTGTTTTTCTTACAGTGGTGTCACTGAAAATGCCTTTGCTTATAAACTCAGAAAAGGCATTTTGGATGTCAACCCGCCATAACACTGCTCAAATCATTAATAACTAGAAAGAAACCAGCTGTCTTTTGAAAGAATACTTTGTCAAAAAAATTACAGGCATGGATTACATAATGGTCTGTTTAATTGAATGCCTCTTTGTTTGACATGTTTCCTAAAACAATTAACTTAAGTTATTAAGCATGGCACGAACAGATCTTTTTTGAGGCCACTGTATACCACTGATCGAGGCACCACTATACCACTATATGGTAAACATTCGCATTAACATCAACAGTAAAAACACACGAACACTGTGCAGCTACCTGATAGAGCGTTTCCATTGATGCTCCAGGTGACTTTGGGAGTTGGGATACCATCTGCTTGACAGTCCAATTTCACTGTCTCTCCAGGGGCATACAGTTCACTCTCTGGTTCTTTAATCCAATATGGAGCAGCTAGAGATACACACACAAACACATAAATATTCCACCACAGAGCTCCATCCTACAGAAATCAAATTAGATAATATTTGGCTGCATCTACAAAAAGCTAAAACCTTTTAGGCAAATCCTGTACCTCTTCAACTTACCGGCATCCTCCAAAACTACTAATTAGAGGATGTCTTTGTCGAGGCAGTTGCTAATTAGTTTTTACAGGCTTGGCACACTGCAGTTCCAAAGCTTTATTGAGTCGTCCTTGCCCAGACGCCCTACAATTTAATGCCCCACTGAATACGTGGGCTAGTTCAGTCCACTAAAAGCAGAGATTTAACATGTCTGGGGAACTGAGTGAAGCGTACCTTCCACAGTGACGGTGTAGGTGTGTGTGGTGGTGCCCTGCGTGTTGGTGGCGGTGCACTGGTACTCCCCATCATCACTCTCCAAGATGTTGTTAAAACGCAGCAGTCTGTCAAAACTCTCTCTGGTACGAGACTGAGGCAGTACTCCATCCTTCCGCACCCACTTGATGGAGGGAGTAGGGCTGAGAAAGAGAAAAAGAGTACCTGTAAGTAATAATAATAGGTTCCATATGTTTTTTATATATACATGTAACTATATATATGTAACAATAAATGGCCTATATGCATTATATATATATATATGTGTGTCTATATATAGGAATAATTTGCCCCTTATGCATTATTATAAATGTTAGTACCTATATGTAATAGTAATATGTCACATACATATCATATATATGTAAAGATATATATACATTGAACAATAATAGATCCCATATTATTGTTATGTACTAGGTCACTTATGTATTACATATATGCAAGTATCAATATGTAATAATAAATGGCTCATATGCATTATATATGTAACTATCCATATTGCTGCTGTCAGAACAAACCCTTGTATTTCCATTTTTCCATTACATTTGCAAGACACTGTAATTAAGCACCTGTATGTAATAATAATATGCACCATATGTATTTTATTTGAGGGTTTATATGTAATAACAATATGCACTTTATGAATTATTTTTCTAGTTATAAAAATACATAGTTATAGTTTTCTAAGGCTATTCCAAACCTTAACCTCAGTAACCAAAAAAATGTTGGTCCTACATAATCAGGACTTTTTTAATCTTAAGATGTACAAACACATATGCGCACACACACACACACACACACACACACACACACACACACACACACACACACACACACACTCACAGGCCCTGGACGATACACTCCAGATCAAGGCTCTGGCCTCTGAGCACCAGATAGGAACTGTGGGTACCGGTAGGTCTCATCATCTGTGGCCGTCTGTTCCGCACCACTGAGTTAGCTACAGACAGAGGGAGAAGAACAGAGAGGTTGAAAGAAAGGGGGGGATAAGAAAAAAAAAACACAGGTAGTAAGCTAAAAAACATGCAAACATGAGCACATGTGAAATGTCATACATAAACAAACAGAAACACAAAGGCGAGTCATCACACAGTGTGTGTGCTCCCTGCGGGCCGGCACTGCCTGAGGTCCAGGTGGAGCTGCATCGTGCACCTCTTCATCAAAGACCTGTCACATTTACACACAGCTGGCATATGCTCACTCCTCCCAGCCTGCCCAGCTATTTGCAGCTACACTAAAGGACCTGGATGTGCCTCTAAGCTGGTAAATGCAGTCCTACACTCTCAGCAAAAAGGGGTCTAGTACCAGAAAAAGGCTCTACAACTTATAACAACTTTACAGCTATATATATGTGTACACTGCTGCGCTGATGAACAAACGACTCAAGCTGGCAGTGAAGGACAGCCTGCTCACACAGAGAAGTGTCACTGACATCATTCAGTCGGACACAAAGTCGTTGGTCACTTTAAATATTCTGCTTTGGTCCAGACCTACACTTTGTGAGTTAGACCGTTTTAAACACACAGTCACAACTGCTTCCCCAGTACGGATGGAGACACACAGGCTAGTGAAACGGGGAGAAAAAGTTGACATTTCCTACATAAGTCTGCCTGTGCCGACTTTACTCATTACACGTTAACACAGTGATTTGTTTTGTAAAACAGGCTGTAGAGACTGTACTGTCCTTCCATGTACATCACCACTTCACTTTTAGTGCACAGTATTAGTACAGCGCTTTCACACAGTGTGAGAATGTAAAATCATAGGTTGTGTCTGTATATAATGGTCCATTCAGACGTTCACTAAAGACCAAGATTTCTAAAATCGCACAGTGTATGTCTGGCTTTTGAGGACATTCAACTACAGCTCAACCAGCCAAACAAAAGACTTCAGACGTAAAACTCCACAAGTGAGCTCTTCAGATGTGTTAGCCTTGGATGTGATCCCTGCTGTCACTAAGCTACAGAGATGTTAAAAGAGACCAATCTGGGTTCAAACGTATGAATCATACTTTACCAATGGCTGTACAGAAGCTGTAAGTAAGCTGTACAGAAGCTTTTCTCTGCTGCAGCAGCACTTGATCCACGGTGACTAATATAGTATAGCTTGCTTATACATGTCATTTAATATAAGCTAGATTTTATTGATTTAACTGTTAAGGTACATTACATTCATTTACACTAAAAACTACTTAATTCTAAGTAGGTTACTCAGTATGGTATCGGACTTTGGACACAGCTGCTGTTCTTTACATTGTGTGAAAATTGCCTAACAAATGGGCCAACAGAACCGGTCCAAAATGACCTGGAATAAAATCTTCTTACATTAACATAAATTAAATGTTAAGAACAGTTTTGCTTTTCCTGTAAATTTACCACTTCGGAGATCTGAGGTTTGATTAGAGCAGCGACTACATTTAACCATTACCTTTACTTTGGAACCCTTTAAGAACCCCTTTTTTAAGGCTGTGATTCTTGAACTTACAGGCAATGACATTCAAGATGATTGGCTCTTTGGCAACAATGATGCGGGCACCCAGGAACTGGACATTGCAGGTGTAATCACTCCTGCTGTCCTCTGTGGTCACGTGCGAGAAGTAGAGGTTTCCATCGCGGCCCTGAGTCACACGCTCACTCTGCTGGATGTGCCGAAGCCCTGGAACAGAACAAGAGGGATCAAAATCAAGTTCCCTCCTTCTAATACATTATGCATGCATAGACACATGCGTTGGATGTAGCAGCATTCTTTTAGCATGTGAGCTGCAAGAAAAATAGACAGAACCAGAATGACTCACTCTTGTCCATCCAGTGGATGAGGGGAGTGACAGAACTTTCTGGAGGGTTGCAGTGTAGAACCACAGGACTTCCCTCTTCCACTGTCTTCTTCACTTTCTTCTCCTTCTGTATAGCAGGAATGTCTGAAAAGGGAAGTCGAATATTCAGTGGGATGTATCAGAGAAAGCTTTTTATCATCACTTTAGTAGCAATGCTTCTTAGTGCAGCAGTCATTTGCTTATATTTGTTTGAGTACTGGTGTAGGAAAGACTGGAGGAGTCTTTCAGTTTATTGAAAATCATATTATTTGCCTTTGTGCGCTGTAATCTAGTAGCACTGCTGGCTAACACGGCCGTGGCGGTGATCACTGAGTTTAGGAATTTTTATGTGGTAAAATTGTGTACTTGGTTGTCTTTAAAGACCTCCATAATTAAATAGCCATAATTTCAGATAAAAAAAATGTCAAATGCTACCCAGTACAAACAGAGTACATACTTCAAAAAGATGGTTCTTCAAGGCTTCTTTAGCAAAGAAAATGGTTCTATATAAAACTATGAACACTCAAAGAACTCTTTGCAAGGTTAAAGGGTTCTTTGCATCATGAAAGGGCTCTTCAGACTGGTGGAGAATGTGCTGCAGATGGTTCTATATAGCACCAAAAAGGGTTCTTCTATTGTTACAAGCTTGACATCACAACCATAGTACAACCATTTTGGTGCTACATAGAACCCTTTTCAAAAAAGTACTATATAAAACCATCTACAGCACATTCTCCATCAGTCTGAAGAACGCTTTAATCATACAAGAGGTTCTTTGCGTGTTTATTGATGTATATTAAACCATTTTCTTTACAAAAGAACCCTTTAAGAACCATAATTTTTAAAGGTTTTTGGTTTAAAGGTATTATGCGCTGGCATTTCTGATCACCTTCCAGTCTTTTCCATAGTAACTACAACCACGCATCCAGCTAGAATAAGTACTACTACAACGAAAGTGATATTAACACAGTCAGTAAACTGTACCTGGTGTAACGTGCAAACTCAAAAGTAATGCAAAAATTATTTTACAGAGAAGATGGAAGGAACTGATGAGTCATTTACATTCATAAAGAAGCATCTCAGAAAAACAAGTCCTGGATCACTAACGCTCACAAGAGAGAAATCAGTAAGAAACACGAACTTTACTGAGATTAGTTAGTGAATCCCACCACATTAAAGTACAAGAAAATGCTATATGTCAAAGTAAGCTAAAGCACACTCACAGAAAAGCATTATTAATGAATTCATGTACTAAGAAATTTAAATCTGCAAAGAAAATTGTAAATAAATTAAACTTTTCTGTATTCAGTTTGGATGCTCCATAGCTGGCAAAATGTCCAATTCTCCACCATCACCACCATACTCACCACTGGCACTTAATGCGTCTACATTTCTGCCTGCAACTTTAATGGAACTGAATAACGTTGTAAACAAATTAAAAACACGGTGGTCGGATGAATTCCAGCTAATGTCGTTAAAGAAATGTCTCCCATCATTCTCAAAAACCCCTTATCAACTAATCCTTAATTACTGGCATATTTCTTGTTGAACTAAACTGGGCAAAAGTTATATAAATCAGCCGGCCCAAAAGGAATTCTCTACTTACCGGCCTATATCTATTTTATGTATTTGCAACGTTTATGAAAACGTAGAACAAACTCATCTGTCACCTTAATGAATACAAACTACTATGCCATCACCATCTACCTCCATGGCACTAGTCCAACAAACTGTGAAAATCCCCAGTGCAAATAACTTTCCCTTTAAGCACAGTTTTTTATCGCTAAAGTGATAATTAGCTTCATTTGGGAATAGTTTATGTGGGGTTTTTTGTTTTTCAAGTATCGCAATATTTGTCACAAAAAACATAAATATTCCAATGTATTCCATACATAATTCAGGCCTAAACTGGATGCCGTTTTTGTGGGGGAAAGACACCCTACAGTTCAACACCAGTAAAAGGATCAAAAGCATTAGAAGACAACTACGGAAAAGTATCTGACAGTGATGAATTCTAAATATGTAATAAAGCACATATTTAAAAGATGCAGGCTGCACCTGCTGCATCTGCCCCATATAAATGAGGCTGTTAGGCTGGTAGCTATTGTTAGCTGTGTGCATGCTGAGTGCTCTCACATTAGTCCCAGGAGGGCTTATCCCTGCTGAAACACTTACTCCGCATCAACTCAACCCGGTTTCTGAGGTAACCGTTGTCACGGCAACTGGGGGTGAGGTCAGAACGGTGGATGAAAGGGAACAGGTAGACAGCTAGCAGTGCATATCAACTGTTGCTGGTCTGTGTTTCATGTTAAGCACACAAGATGAACATTAAAGCTGAGGACAGGTGTATATTTGATGGCTAAGTGGCTTGTAAACCAAGATCTCTACTTTGATTTTCTAGGTAACATCATATCACAAAGTGTCAGAAACCACAGAAGCAGTCACCACAAATGGGCAAATTAAATCGGAGTCGATGGCAAGACATGCGGATGCCACAGGTAGTACAAAGTATACAGTTGTGAGTGTAACACACCTTCAGTGAAAATCTGAGCCTCGTTGGACACAGCTGTGCCCAGCTCGTTGGAGGCAAAGCAGCTGTAGTTGCCCTGGAAATGGTGGATGGGTCCATCTTTAGCCGTGAAGCTGCCAGAATCAGGAGAAACCAGCATGGCAGAGACACTAGACAGGTCAAATTCCACTCCATCTTTCACCCATCGAAACCTGAAGGAGGCCATGAAGAGAGGAGAACAGATTTTAAAGAGCAGCATCCTTCTTCTATAAACATATTTCAACATGAACTACTTACATGCAGAGATGTCAGTACAGATTTTATTAGTAATTAAGTGATCTACTGAGTAAACTGAAGATTAAACAAGTAATTTAAATAATTTTTGTTTGAGTTTTTTTAAAAAAAAAGGTCAAAAAAGTAAAAGTTCACTTAAGTGAACAAAACATGCAGAGCTTCTCAAAGATACCACTGCTTAAAGCCTCTCTCAACAGGGTTTCAGATGTTTAAAGTTTTGTTTTAATATTAATGACATGCTGCAGAAAAAAACATTTACTGGCATTATATTCAAGAAATGTACATAAATTAATACACTTTAATAGTAGATAAATGCTCCAAAAATTCTAAGCTGCTGCCTGCTCTTAATAGTGTGTGCGTTCACTAGTGTGTGTGAGTGTTTCACTGCACAGATGGGTAAAATATGGAGGTCAAATTCCTTTGTGTGCAAGCACAATTAATCAATAGCTCTTAATTCTAATTCTATTTGATTTCAACACATTTGTGTCATACTGTTTTATGATTTAACATATTCTGTGTTAAAAGTAACCCAAAATGTTTTATACATAACGTACAGAAATATTTCAACACATTAGGTGTTAAAAGTAACACGTGTCGTCTCCAACTGAACACACTGATGTGTCTAGTTAGAGATACAATGTGTTGTTTTTTAATGCATGGACTGTTTTAACTGTTGGACTGTACTTCTGAGGTCATGCAAGCTCCCGTTATGAGTCGGCACGGTCATATTTGCGGACATGGTGGAGAAATTTCTCGTGTGTTACACCTGTAAGTGAAAACACTGGTAGCCCCAGTGTTAGGAGGGGGGTAAGTTAGCTAATGCAAAACTAAGGCGGATCGCTAGCTATCGCATTCTCATGAATGAAGTTACCTTAATGTGGCTAACGCAAGTAAGAAGCAGCATCATGTATGCTACATATGTAGCATGTATGCTACAATCAGTGATGTGATAAACCATCATAACAAGCATAACAAGTTTATCCATCCATCCATCATCTAAACCACTTATCCTTCTGGGTCGCGGTGGGGTGCTGGAGCCTATCCCAGCTGTCATCGGGCGGAAGGCAGGATACACCCTGGACAGGTCGCCAGTCCATCGCAGGGCAGACAAACAGACATATACATCCACACACACACTCACACCTAGGGGCAATTTAACATGTCCAATCAGCCTGACTGCATGTTTTTGGACTGTGGGAGGAAACGGGAGTACCCGGAGGAAACCCACGCAGACACGGGGAGAACAGGCAAACTCCACACAGAAACGACCCTGGTCACCCGGCCGGGAATCGAACCCAGGCCATTCTTGCTGTGAGGCGACAGCGCTACCCACTGCGCCACCGTGCTGCCCTTAAAAACAAGTTTAGAAAGGCTTAAATAATCTACTTGCTCAGAGCAGAGGGAGAGCAGTGATTTTAGGTGAGATTTTATGAACACGAGTAGCCGACACATACACATTGCTAATTCTGAGTGGTAGTTTGGCGGATTTGACGTCACTTTCGCAAATTTAATCCAACCCAAATTGAAGAAAAGAAAGAAAAATACTACAGAAAATACCAACAGCATTCTTTCTCCGCCAGTTCATTGTAAAAACATAATAAAAATTATATAAAATAGTCAGAAGAAAATCAAAAAAATGAGTAGACAGGGTTTTAAAGCTACAATAAGTTTTGGGGGTTTGGACGTCTCTGGTGGAAATGTGGAATTGCACGCAACTCAGAGAAAATCGTTTTGTAACTAGGGGTTACGCTTCAAACCCCTTCCCAGAGGGGATGAATCTGAAGACTGTGAGTGAGTTAAAAGAATATTCACAGAGAACTCAGTCAAAGCTTGGTGAAGGATGTTTTCTGAAGTGCAAATTAATTATCTGCTACTGTCATCATATCTTCATCAGTGTAATGCTGATTTGCACTTGAGACTTAAATATCTGGATCTTCTTTTTGAGCCTGTGCGTGTGATGTTAATAAGTAAAGACATATGACGTGGTCATGAAAAACCTCAAAAAATCCGACCCGAAGCCTCTGCTTTCTTACTTTAGTATTACTTTAGTCTTTACAGAGTGGCTCACAGCAGCGCACACACCATGTTTCAGTTCTTTTTTCTTCTTACATAGCGCAGCAACAACTGAAAAAAGATAAACTAGGAAACCGTAAAAAGGACTTTCAATTAATGATAAATTTTAATCAATAATTTTTTTTTAAATCATGCAATTATGTTTATTTTTACTTATTGTGACAGAATTCCTAAAATGTGAATATCGCAAACATAATGTGACGGTTAAACATGCAAAATCAGGAAGAAGTGAAAGCAGCCCCTGGTTTGTGGACTATGAATCTGGATGTAATGTAATGTGAAATTCGTTGCCGTGGATACTGACGTGGGAGGGGGATTCCCAGTGGCCTCACAGTTCAGGATGATGTCATCAGAAGAGAAGGCAGTGATGGACACTGGTTGGACAGTGATTACTGGGGGTTTCTTTACTGTGGAGAAAGAGAAAGCGATAGAGACAGTGAGAGAGACAGAAAGCCAGTAGAGCGAGAGAGAAAATATGCTTATCCAATCCGTTTATCCATTTCCATTTGAGCTGAAGGACGTTATGAGAGTAAATACCCCATAAGTGAGATACTCAGATGCAGAGGTAGAGAGAATATTACTTCACTGCTGGTCATTTCTACAGTAACCATGTGACCTGTAAACAGACCAATACGGAGTCTTGCCACTACACTGGAGTGAAAAACCATCCTCCCCCCTACTCCCCTGCATCCCTCAGGCTTTAGGGACTTAATAATAAGACATAATGCAGTGGATAAGATTCAAACTGATTTTTTAATGTGGGTCAAAATAGCAACTTTATTTCAAAAGAAAAGATCAGAGTAGTATCTCCTTTGCAAAATAGTGATCTTCTATAGATGTGGCTAAACTTAGATACCTGGTTTTAACCATTATCAGTGGTTTACATCAAAAATGGTAAATGGGAGATCCAGACTTGGGTAGTAAAGAAATACATGCAATGTCAATAAATAATCAGGACACAAAAAAGGTAACTGTTTTCTGTTACAGTTACAGGAAAAAACAGTAATGAGATTACACTACAAATAAAGGGTGATCACCAGCAGGATTACAATAAAACCACTCATCACTCATTAGCTTGCCTTGATTGCTGAGCTAAACTATGCAATACAAACATTAGGACCACAAAAATTTAGTCAACACTACATTTCCCACAGTACCCCAGTGCTTCTCCTTTCAATGCTTTCAGTTTGTAAGAAGTTAAGCTGTACACCGACTGTTTTCAATACCCCACTAGCAGTAGGTGGACTTGAACATATGCAAATATTTAACAGCTTGTGAATGTTTTTAACAGCAAGTCAGCCACGGAGCAGCCAGAGTAATGTTAACGCTTATGTTAGGAGCTAACTACCAAAAACACAGGTTAGGAAACCAAATCAAACACAGTTAAGAGAGCAACTCATTTAGTCTACAACAAATTCTCATTTGCAAGCTTGTGTTATTTATTTAGCAAGAACTGACAATGCAAAAACAAAAAAGTAAGCCTCCCAACCTTCAAAAGACCCCCAGGAGAGACTGATAGGTGTACTGCCTATACAGATTTAATACACTTTGTCAAACAGTAATGAAATCGTTATATCCTTATCTCGTACAACTACACATAAACATCCACACAAATACAGAGCTATAAACATACAGTACAAAACATGCCATGGATGTTTCCAAGAAATATCTCTTGTATGAGTTCATCCCCAGTGCCTGAAGGAGTAATGCATTCAGATTAGGAGAACATGATACGTCCTTTAAGTGTGGGACATTTCACGCAAGAGCAGCTCGCAAGGATTGGCTGTGGAAAGACAGCGAACGGGAACAGAGGGAAAAATGAGAACGAGGCCAGAGGCATATAAGGACAGAAAGAGAGAGATCTCTGTAATATGTTCAAGGGGAATTGATGTTCAAGGGGAATTGATCTTTCCAAATTTCTTCATAACCCAATCACTGAAAGTCATTCAGACCTGATGTGAAACGGTTCACAGTATAGCAACTTGCCATCTCAGACTCAAATATAGACATCTTATTTGCTACCCAAAACAGACAGTAAACCTACACATCTTCTTAAATTTTAAATATGTAATGGTGATGATAAATTATTGGTGAAATTTTCATCAGGAATTAAGGCCATATACTTTTTAAACCAGATCAAACTTATATCATGAAAACAGCATGAATATAAGTGGCATGAATACAGAAAACCCTTATGGTAGCAATTTATATGCTACATTACTGTTTTATGTTCCGCTCTACAGGGTTTATGCTGACACCACCATACTGTCCCATTAATGCAGTTAGCTTTAGCTGCATCTAAACAGAAGAGCTACTTTTGAATATGAAAGTTGCTTTGTAAGTAAGCTTATGCATTTTAATCATCATAAACAGAACAGCACACAGAAAGACTTATGTATTTGAATCTATATTAATGGTAAACAAGGTTGAGAACTCTAAATGGAGGGAAAGGAATAAGAAGAGAAGGAGAAAGGGTCAGGGACAGAGAGATAATCAGCACTGGACAGTGAAGATCAGAGATACTTTGATGAAAACATCACAACTGTTGAAGTGAATAAGGCATATTTTTCATCTCAGATCTAGTTAATCTGCTGCAAGCTGTTCTCCATTACTGGAATAAGCAGATATGTCCTCTGCTGAAAACATACTAGTGCATTTAAAGGGGAATTCCACTGATTTATTTTAAATATCTGAACAGTGTAGTAATCACTGAGATGTAAGCAAAGTCATTCAGAGTGGTTTGACGTGAAATGGTGCAGTGTAGAAAAAGTTCTACAGAGAAGTCATACTTCTTCACAATGGTGGTGGAACCAGAGGTCATGATGGCTACAATGCAAATACAGTTATATATAGTCATGTTATTATCCATGACAACCAAACATAATGCTGAAGCTACACGTCATTGGAATTTTTACCTTTATATGTGTCTATGTTGATAATGGTAAAATAGTTGTAAGTGGAAAAAAAAAGATTCTTTTGGTTCTGTTTTGCCTTATAATGTCTTTCAAGAATTAGCACTAGGTACTGGGACAGATTTGGCGGGGGGTTTTCAGACCACATCATACATCTTTATGTATTACAGTATTTAGTATTTACGTATTTACATTATTTAGTGCGCCCACTTGTTGCCTCCATTACAGCTTCCATTCTTTTCAGGAGGCTTGCTTCCAGTTTTCCGAGAGAAATCTGCAGGGATATTTTTCCACACCTCCAAAGTTCAGTCTTAGAAGTTGGTTGCATTTTCTGCTTCTCACAATCCAAGTAACCCCAAACACATTCAGTGATGTTGAGGTCTGGACTCAGTAGTGGACACTCGACTGAAAACGTCAGCTGCTTCTTTGTTTGATTTGCAAAGTTTCGTCTTTTTTGCCTGTTTTCTTTTTTCAGTAAGGGCTCCTTGACAGCCTCATATCCTATCAGACCCTCAGCATTGGGTTGTCTTCTCACAGAGGAGGGGTAGGCAGAATCTTTTAAAGATGCTTTAACTCCATCATGAACGGACAATGGACAATTCTGTCTGTAAGTTTTTCTAGAATGAAGCATTTCACACCAAACCACTATGAATGACTGTGTACAATTCAACTACGTAGAAGCTTAAAAAAATTGTTGGACTTTCCCTTTAAGTATCCTTTCATCTAGTACACAGCCATCAGAAAGCACCAGAGTATAATAATATTTCTTAATGTTCAAAACAAAACCTTGTAACTTGTTTTTCTATTTTTTTTTTATTTGAAAATGCCAGCTGTCATGATGAATGCCCATGACAAAAAAGACAAGAAATGGTAAAAAATTCCTTAGAATAAAAACTCTTTACATTAACATACATTAAAGATAAAAAAAAATCTCCTAATAAAAATCTTGAAGATACAAGGTTTTGTTACAACAGTGACTATTTGCTCCAACACCAAACACCATCAGGATTTTGCACCACAACTGGCTTATGTACTGATTTAACACAGGCGTACACATGGACACATTTACAAAGGCCGACACATTTACACAAACACATGTACATGTAAGAGAGGACAGTGTAAACACTTACGTTCTTTCATGTGGTCTGTCCAGTGAGTCAGCAGGGGTGAAGGAGAGAGTCTGTTAGCATTGTGCACACAGGCCAGATACACTTGGACATTATCCACATGAGCACACACATTCAGTGAGCTAGCACAATATATTACAGTCATCAACATTGCAGATGATGTGAATGCACAGTATTTTTTATGGCTACTGATTTTGAATGCTAAAGTGCTTCATACCTGAGTACTTGCCAACATGCATTACTAACACTAATACCAATTTATCTGTTTTAATCACTGGATGGTTGTATACAAGACTTGGACAAGAGTGTGCTTTATTTCATGCCCATGTAAAACGGATCAGTGTTTAAGCTGGGCAAAGTCAACCTGCTGAGGAAATTTCAAAGACTGATATTATACAGTGTCATTCAGAGGTGGGCAATATGACAACATTAATAGTTACTATTATAAACTACATTACTGTGCAGAAGTCTGAGACCCTTTTTTTAAAAAAAATTTCTAGTCAAAGAAGCTCTTAAAGCAGACAATTTTTTAAAAACTAAAAGAAGTAGCACTGCTGAGCATGGAAGAAACAGAACACACTAAAATATGGAGTGGGTACGCCTCTGTGAGTCACCCTAAAGTCTGAAACTTTACTGGGACGGATTTGGCGGGAGTTTTTCGGACCACGTCGTGCATCTTTACGTATCAACTTCTCACACACACAGCCTCAAACAAGAGGTCCGACTTCACCTTTAGGTCTCAAATGCAAAGTCAACATTATTTTACGGATGATATAATGACAGTACATAATGAGTGTGTTCTCTTCGAACACTCTTTCAGTGCACTCTCCGTTCATCCGTTTCAGTGCATTCATCCGTTTGTGGGGGCCGAAACACAACCAACATTACAAAATGTTCTTCCGCACGTTGCGTGTAATTACATATTTCTACCAAAGAGGTCTCCAAATCTCCAAAACTGACATTGTGTAGCTTTAACTCCATTTTTCAGCAAACATATTTAACATAAAATCATGCAGAGGTCTCAACCACTAATTATACCATTCTTTTCAGTATTTAGTGTGCCCACTCACTGCCTTCATTACAGCTTCCATTCTTTTCAGGAGGCTTGCTTTTTAGTTTTCTGAAATAAGTCTGCAGGGATATTTTTCCACACCTCCGAAGTTCAGTCTTAGAAGTTGGTTGCATTTCTCATAATCCAGGTAATTTCAAACACATTCAGTGATTTTGAGGTCTGGACTCTGGGGTCTTCAGCCCGTTGAAAACATCATCTGCTTCTTTGTTTGATTTGCAAAGTTTCTTCTTTTTTGCCTATTTTCTTTCCTCAATGAGGTCTTCTTGGTGGCTACACATCCTTTAAGAACCATAGTGTTGGGTCGTTTTCTCACAGTGGAAGGATGGATTTTTTTCAGATTTGAAGAATCTTTCAAAGATGAAAGCTTTAAGGACTGTTTAGCTGATGGTGACAGTTTTGGTGGTCTACCAGGTCTTGCACAGTGGTTATGTGTATTATTTTCTCTATATCTTGTATTAACTGTAACTCCAGTTGAAAGTTCATAACTCCAGTTTTGTAAACTCATGTTTTTCCCACTTACTTTGTTTTGAAATTCCTTTTCCTATGCATCTAATCAGCTCAGAAAAAACCTTCTGAAAAATGAAAGGCTTGTACTGAATGGTCGTTTGCCCAGGCCTTCCGTCATATCCATGTCACAGATAATGAGCCCTTTAGTTCATTAAACACCCAAATACTGACAGCTTCTTAGATTTTCAAAAAAAATCTGACAAATTTGCAATACAGTGCAATTATTCACTATAGAATTGTGACATCCTTTGCGTCAGAAACATAAATATGACTATTAAAAGTATTATAACAGTCAGGCTTTTCTTATGTAATTTCTAAACTATTCCTCATCTTTTACAGCTCTTATTTTCTTTCATAATGCCTCTTTGTGCTGACTGGAGCGTGATAGCTTGCAAAAGAGCAGAACAAAGATCAGACATCATGCCAGCTCAGACACCTGGATTCCTCTGTGGCTGGCCAAAACACAGCAGCCCTGCAACATGCTGGCTAAGCGAGGCCAAATAAAGGCTCCAAGCTACTCCTTCTGCCCTGCTTGGGATAATGAGATACCTTTGCAGTCTCGACACTTCATTTCCATACAATGGCGTAGAAAACAGGACAAAATATGTGCACTGAACACTTCCTTTCTAACGGCGTGCACCCAGTGACTCTGCGACCCAGATAAAAAATTCTAATGTGGGTGAGTTATCGATCGAATTGGTCACATCTATCTATGCACTCAAAGGTCACTAAATGAAAATCAAGAGATCCACTGACCTTTATATTCGCACCTTCACATGTGTGCACCCCCACACTCACTAAACCCACCACTTCTTTCTGCTTAAAGGGAAACTCATTTCTGCATAATTCAGTCATTAAGATGTAAGTAAAGTCATTCAGAGTGGTTTGATTTGAAATGCTTTGTTCACAGTGGTTGTGACAGTAACTAGACGTCTGAAATGTTAAATGCTTTTAAAAGGCACCTCACAGAATGTTATTACAAGAAATGGTTATGAGTACATTGTCCAAATATCCTGAGACACTGTTTTATGATAGTTTCGAGATATGATTTTGGTCTAAAATATATTTGTTCCAATCCAATCATGGAAGAGGGGTACATGCAGAGCACCGTAAGGCAAATTTGTCCTCAAAGTAAACATATTTATTTCAGATTTACTACTGTTTTACCATGATCAACATTATGTATAAAGACTCGTCTTTTGGACAGTAAATAAAATAGCTATTTTTGTGTTGTAGACATTACAAACCCTGGTTCCAGTCATCACCACTAAACAAAAAAAAAAACGTTAGTATGTTTCTCTACGTTGAACCATTTCACATCAAGCCACTCTGAATGTCTTTGTTTACATCTCAACTGTTGAATCATGCAGAAATTTCAGAAATATGAAGAAATTTCCCTTTAAATGTGTGTGTAAGAAGAAGCACAGTTCTGAATCAGTGATTCATTGCTGTTGGCTGAAAGTGCAAAGTAACAGTGCTACTCCATCAACAGCAGAGAAGTTAGCGCAGGATTGTGCAGCAATCTTGTGTTCTTGCAGCTTGACTTGAGCATATATCACCGTGTGGTTGAGTTCCTCCCCCCACCCAATCAGTAACGCATATGCACTGAGGAAACCAGATCAATGGCATAATCAATTGAGCAATTAAACACACCTAGAACCATAGGCTCCCCAGCTCAACTCTAACCCAGACATGCCTTCACCACAAAACCCATACAAATGCATTAAACAAGCAGCGCTAAGAACTTGAGGTTATATATGTACACTACTGTGTATGTAGCACGTACCATTACATACCTACATATAAGAAGAACTTTCTAAACCTAAGCCCATCCTTAAACTCAGGAACCATAACAAAATGTTCTTGGTGGAGATGATACCACTCCTTGTTATCTAATACCATTACAGAATATTGGGGGCCCTGATACTGATTTTTGTTTCTTTAGAAACTACTAATCTGTAAAATTAGATTTTTTTATTGAAAGGGCTTTACTAAGATGTCTATCTAAAATTACCTTGTGCAAACATTAATACGTTAAAAGAAGAAATTCATAACCAACAGCATGCCTTACACAAAACTTGTCCAACTCTTTCAGGATAAATATAAAAGAAATACCAAATACAGTGCCCGTGTGTAAAGAAAGGATTTGTATAGTAGTATTTGTATAGTGTTAGCTAACCACTTGCTGTTCTTTTTTTAAAGGTGAATTCCATTGATTTTTCAAAACTTTCATGGTATTTCAGACTAGATCTGTTGTAGAATTTGATTCCTTTTTCTCCAATATCTGATCCAGAATTCTCCAATACTGGGTTTCAGATCGGTATAATTTCTAGTTTTTCAGTTTTAGAGAAATAAAATATATAATCAGGACCCTGTTTTTTTCCTATACAGGCAGAAATTTTTGTTACAAAAATGTACAAAAATCAGTATACAAAGCCTTACGCATGATAAAATCTCATACTCACAGTTGTCTGGAATGTGGATGGCAGCATGGGCTGGTGTTGGAGCGAGGGTCAGGTGGAGGAGGAGGGCACAGAGGAGAGGGAGTGGGGAAGGCATGCTGCGCCCCCTGCTGCCCACCTGCTGTTGTGACGTGGTAGGCATTGCTCACTGTCCCATCAAAGGTGCACCTGCTTCCAGGCTCACACACTGCAAGGACAGCAGCCCACACGCTGACGGGCAACTCCCTTCTCTCTCTCTCTCGTCCTTCTGTTTCACCAGTCCTGTTTATACTCCCTCGCAGCTTCTCTCTTCCTCACTGGCTCCTCTCTCTCTCTCTCTCTCTCTCTCTCTCTCGCACGCTCACTCACAGGTCCACGCCCTCCTGCTGTCTCCTCACTGCAAAAAAAAAGAGAGAGGGGGAGTGAGGGAGGTGGAGAAAAAGAGGGAGGATTGCCACATGTGTCAGAGGAAGAGAAAAATGACTTGGACCACCACATGGTCCAGTAGAGAGCCAGAGAAGACAGACAAAGAACCGAAACAGAGCACACCACAAGAATATCCTCATTTGGGGTCAGCTGAGTGAAAACCAGTCATAATATCACACATTTCCCTGTTAAACAGCATTTTACATCAACACAAGTAAAGCCAAGCCTGTAGTTCAGACTAAAGGGGAGCCAACATCAAAAGTAGAGGTGGCATGAGATCACATTTTCTTTTCTAATACTGATGCCAGTAATTAAACCTTGATCACTGGTTGGTGACAATCTGATATCTCTTCTTTAAAAAATACTAAGCTCTAAAATTAGCTATATTTAATTAAAGCACTTCACTTAAAGTGAGCATCTAAAAGTAGGAAGAAAAAAAGCTCAGAACATCACATCAGGCAGTGTGATATTTCAGAATGGAGTTGATCAGATTCTTTCTTTTTTTACTCCAATACCCAGCATTTCCTGCTGATACTGGCCCTAATCCTGATACCAATGCACCATCACTGATCAAAATTCTTAAAGACAGCTTTACGATATACAAAATATGAGTTTTTCTGAACTGAGCTTTGCCAACAATTTTAAAACAGACAAAATGCACCAGAAAACTAGCAGTGCTGTCTATTAACATATAAAACAAAATGCATTACTATATGAGAGACCACTAGGAGAATGTGTATAATCAGAGTGTCCACAGCTATCAGTAAAATAAATGTAAAGCTTTTTAAGTCATTTTAATGACACTTGGAGAATTTCATCTCATGAACTTTCACAACCACAACATTATACAGCACTTAAAAGTGTCCACTTTTGAAGCAGCTTGAGTACCATTATTTCCAAAAGCACGGGAGTTTCCATAATATGCTAGCACTAAGCTAGCAGTGGTCATTGTTGTGGTGATAGGAACCAGCCGTCTGAACCATCTGATGCCTCTAAATGCTCCCTTTCAGAAAGTTATTACAGGAAATAGTTACAAACATGTGCCTGATGCCTGAGACACTGGAAATTAGCCATTAGACTGTCTTTGCGTTAGCTGCACTGGGTTGTGGATATTGCGACCCCTGCTTCCTATGACCACCATTATAAAGACATCTGGGTCAGTACATTTCTCTACAATGCATTTAACATCAAAAACACTCAGACTGACTTTGTTTACATCTCAGCTATTGAATGATGCAGAAATCTGAGAAAATTGGTGGAATTCCCCTTTAATGTTAGTCTGCATGTTGTTAATGGTATTATCAATCTCTTGCTTTACGTTGTACCACACTACAGAATCCTTCCTAAACAGGGTTTAATACTACTTAGGCCAACTGACTGAAGCTTTTCACAGACAATTAGACATTCAAGAGGCATATTCTTTACTTTGTGTGTTTCAGTTTTACAGTGAATCCTTCAGTAAAGCCTAGCTCCAAATATTGCATGTGTAGCCTGGTAGCTGTCTACTGGGATGTTTAGTCTAGCCAAAACATATACATATACATATAGATGTATATTCATATACATTTTTACTTCATTCACATGCAATATAACAGCTAACATCTGATTTACGGCATGTGCACATAACCACAGCAATCTACTATTCAGAGGCACAGAGGCAGGCAAAGGTAGCATTAGGAGTCTTGCCCAAGGACCCTTATTTGTATAGTGCAGTGTGCTTGCCCAACTGAGGAACTGAAACCCCAGTCTGCTGTATGGAAGGCAGTGCTGTTACCACTCAGCCAGAATGTATATTTCATATGTGTTTTAATCACATGACCAGTTTTAATCAAGTAATCATGACACTGTGATGTAATTTATACCAAGAATGATAGCATTCCGTCATATTACCCACCCCTAGTGAAGATACGAGAGCGAAACCACAAATAATTAACCTCATCAAATAAACATAATCCCTCTGAGATCAGTCAAAGTGAAGGCATTTGTTGTACACATGTCTCATCAGCATTCTGTATAAACCACCAAACACAAGGTGACCACAGTCATTAAGGAGATAACATGAAGGAGAGGAAAAAGGGAGAGTGAGTGGTTGAGTAGGAGCGCAGTGGCCTGGACTGGAGTATTTGAAGTGGGCTTTTATGAGCGTGAAGATAAGCACCTATTAGAGATGGTATCAGTCATGCTGCAGGGGTGAGGGCTCCTCTCCAGGAACAGTTCACGCTCTCCATCTGGAGACAGCCTCGCCAAATCACAGCACACATGCACGCACACACACACACACACACACACACACACACACACACACACACACACACACACACATGTACAGCCTAAATGTACAACTGTCTTTATTCTTCACTGACGTTATCACGCCAGCTGACACTCCTCTTTCTTCTACAGTCATGATCTCAAAAACACACAATAGAAGATCCCCTGAGGAAAACTGAGAAACACAAATACAGAGAGAGACAGAGAGAGAGAGAGAGAGTGAGAGAGAGAAAGAGAGAGAGCGAGAGAGAGAGAGAGACAGAGAGAGAGACAAAGAGAATGAAGAGAAAATGAAAGAAAGAGAGAGACAGAGATTGAGAGGAGAGAATAAGAAAGAGAGAGAGAATGTAAAGAGAGATGAGAACGAGACAGAGAGAAAAAATAATGAAGAGAAAATGAAGAGAGAGAGGGGAGAGAGACAGAGAGAGAGAAAAGATAAGATAAAGAGGGAGGAGAGAATAAGAAAGAGAGAGAAAATGGAAAAAAGATGAAAAAGAGAGCAAAAAAGAGATAAAGGAATAGATAAAGAGAAAGAGCAGGGAAAACAGAGAGAAGGAGAAAAAGTGGGAGAGAGAAGGATGACAGAGAGAGAGAAAGAGAGAGAGAAAAACAAAGAATAGAGAGAACGTAAACAAGACAAAGAAAGATAGAAAGAGTAATAGAAGATATAGAGAGAAAAAGAACAGAGAAAGAAAGACAAAAGAGAAAGAATAGATGAGAGTCAGAATGGTTGAGAAAGAGAATGAGAGAGAGAGAAAGAACAGAGAGAAAAAGAATAAAAATAGAACATAGAGAAAAAGAACGGAAAGAACGTAGAAAGAGTGAGAGAAAGAAAGAAAAAAGAAAAAAATAGATGAGAGTCAGATTGGGTGAGCGAGAAAGAGAATGACTATGAGAGAGAGAGAGAGAGAGAGAGAGAGAAAGAGAGAAAGAGAAAGAGAAAGAGAGGCAGAACAGAAAGAAAAAGAGAAAAAAGAAAGAAGACAGAAAATGGGAGATAGAGATGAAGATGAATAGAGGGATGGAGAGAGTGAAGGACTAAGGGCGGAGGTTGGATGTCTCTGGCTGGCGTGCTGCAGGTCTGAAGCAGCAGGAGGCTGAGGGAGCTCCGCTGTAACCTGGCAGCATAAAGCACCCGGCAACAGAGCCAAGCGACCTTGGAGAACGACAGAAGGTTGAGAGGAGGAGTAAAGAAGAATCGCACACACACAGTTGGAGGAAGAGAGATAAGCATTCCGTTCCTTTCTGCCAAAGTTCCCATTCTCCTGATTGCTGTTCCCGTCAGGTCAATAAACGGATGAATCATAAACAGATCATTAGTGCTGTTTCGACACTGTTTGGATCAGAACATGTGAAACACAGCAGAGCACAGAATAACAGTGAGGAAAGATCACCAGCAGAAGATGATAGAAATAACATTGGAGTGAAACACGGATTAGTCGGGTCATTGAACACATCACGTCCCATCAGCCCTGTACCCTGAGCAGCTCCCTCAGAAACAGACACAGACAGAGAGAGAGAGACACCACAGAACCTGGAAACCCAGAGAGGAGAGAGCCTGCACACACTGCAGTCTGATGCAGACAGAGGACGAAACTCATTTTCTATGACACTGCCCAAAATACCGGTCAATAAGAGAAGTGTTCTTAGAACAGTTCGGAAAAATAAATCAGTCTCTGATAAACTTTATGCTGAAACTGCAACACTAGCAGCCAAATATGTCTCAGCTCTACATCATCTGAGTACGATCCTCAGGGACCTCACTAATAACAACTTCACTAACAACAGGATCACTACTCATCTTCTTAAATATACTATTTATGTACTCTTTTTTCATTTATTTGTTTTGCTTATAGTCTTTTTATGCCACTATCCACACATAGTACTATAGATAATCTTGAATGTATGTGTACATATGCATATGAGTGTGTATATGTATATGGCTGTCGTCTGAAGAAAACCTTGTATCTCCAAAATTATAACTTTACAGGAGAAGGAAAAAAACAGTCAATGGAACCAGACTTTTTTCCAAGTCATTCTGGGTCATTTCTTTTGGTCCATTCATCATGAAATTTACATACAATGTAAAGGGCAACAGGCACTTTCAAATTATGTCAAAAACTGAAAAACGACAAAACTGGAAATACAAAGTTTTTGTATGTATGTATGTGTATATGTAAAAAAAAAGAAAGAAGGGGTGAGAGAGAAAGAGAATGACAGAGAATGAGACAGAGAGGGAGATAAGGGGCGAGAGAGAAAGAGAATGACTGTGATAGAGGGACAGAGTGAGAGAGAGAGAAGGGGCAAGAGATAAAGAGAATGTGTGAGTGAGAGAGGGGGAGGGGGAGGGGGAGAGAGAGGGAGAGAGACAGAGAGAGAGAGAAGGAGCGAGAGAGAAAGAGAATGACTGTGAGAGAGAGACTGAGAGAGAGAGAGAGAGAGGGAGAGAGAGAGAGCGAGAGAAGGGACGAGAGATATAGAGAATGACAGTGAGAGAGGGAGGAGAGAGAGAGAGAGAGAGAGAGAGAGAGAGAGAGAGAGAGAGAGAGAGAGAGAGAGAGAGAAAGAAAGAAGGGGCGAGAGATAAAGTGAATGACCGAGAGTGAGAGAGAGAAGGGGCAAGAGAGAAAGAGAACGAGTGTGAAAGAGAGAGGAGGGGGTGATGGAAGGTGAAGATTTAGACAGTAATCCCCTCCCCAACTA